ACATTTCCATTCATTCACTCTGTTCATTGAATGTTTACTGCATGAACCCATTTTTGGTCATGTTTCATTCAACGCCAGCTGTGATGTTTAACTAAAGTGTTTCCACTCGTCTTTTGTTTGCCCATGTGTGCGTATGTGAGTGTGTGTGTGTGTGTGTGTGTGTGTGTGTGTGTGTGTGTGTGTGTGTGTGCAACCAGCAGGGAAGTAATTGACTCTCCCTTGCATAGCCAGCCCATATCCGGACTCAGGTCTCACAGGCCTCGCTACAGCCTCCAGCTTTCTTACTTCCATCCTTCACCCCATCCTTTTCTCTCTCTCTCTCTCTCTCTCTCTCTCTCTCTCTCTCTCTTTCTCTTTCTCTCTCTCTCTCTCTCTCTCTCTCTCTCTCTGTACCTCCTCCATTTCTCTATCTCACTACCATTGTTAAGGCTGGGTATCTTAAGACTTTTCTTACAGACCCGTATTGGTCCATGTGTCCATGAAACAAAAGTAGTTTGCATCACATGTAAGGTCCACTTTGTTGTTAGTTTCGGATTTAAAGCCAACATTTGGCCAATTTGAGAACATTTTCCAAAAAAAAGGGGATGTGGACTTTAGTGACAGGTCACCATCAGGGTCCTATTATCATATCTCGACACATACCGGTACTGCTTCTCTATGGGTGAGTTAGTCAAGTTTGCTTGTCTACAGCGCGTTTGTTCCCCTTGAAGGACCGGCAAAACTTTTATTTATACAATGATTTGCCAACTTTGTCTTTGATAAGGCCAGTTTGAGCATGTTGTATAAACAGCTAGTTCGTACGCAGTTTATTATATTCTTAAGATGTTTATTATTAGTGCTGCACCAGTTGAACATTGGTATTGGCCGGTATTGGCCCATTGGCGTATAATGTGGCATGCAGCTATGTCAGTAGATGATGTGTGTAGGGGTCTGGGATAAACTGTCTTATGGACTGTACAGCATGTGTGTGAAAGTTGACAGTTTGAGAACGTGTGTGAGGGTTTCTCAGGCTGCACACGTACGCACGGCTTCCTTATTTCACTGCGGTTTGTTTATCGGAGGACTTAGAGGCAGCTCATTTTCTGCTCAGCTCCACCATGAAGAGCACTGGGAGCCTTTCATCTCTCCAGCGCCACTTTAAACACTGCTGACAGTGTCTGGGGTTTGTGTAGAGGAAAGGTAGAGTAAGACAGAGAGACAGCGATATAGAGAGATTTGTGGTCAGAGGCAGACGAACGCACACACACACACTCACTTCAGACGCTGTAACAGGAGAAACAAAGAGCAGAGGCTGATCCCATAATTCAGCAACAACTACACAGGCCAACACTCTCTCTGAGGTTTCCCCCTGGAAATACAGGCGAGGGGGGCAGGAAGTGTGTTTTTGCATGTGTGTAAATTGTGTGTATTTGGACACACCTCTGTATGAATACTAAGCGGACCACCCAGCTCTGTGATTTCAACCTGAACAGGACATTTTCCCTCCTACATATTCATAGACGATAGACCATCTTTATGACCTGTGGGCTCCATCTCAATGTGTCTGTGTGTACGCGTGTGTGCGTGTGTGTGTGTGTGTGTGTGTGTGTGTGTGTGTGTGTGTGTGTGTGTGAAGGGTAATACATCTGCTCATAATTTCATTTTGTCATATCTTTATCAAAGCATCATATTGTTTTCCGTATTCATGTGATGGCTCACGCAGCTGCACATAATTAGATTTTTGTAATATCATTATCAGAGCTCTGGGGAGCATGGAGAGGATTTAAGAAAACTCTGTACTCGACCCAAGCACAGAAACATGTTATTGTCAAAGTGACTCAAAGTACTTAATTTTATATAACAACCTCAACTATCCTATCCCAAAATACTGTGAAGTGTTTTGGTGTCATACTGTACATAAAGCACTAAATGTGGAAGTCCTGTACTGGAGGAATTAAAAGAGGCTTTGTTAGATCCCTGTATCAGTTTTCTCCATGTCTCCTCCTTTGTAGATACATTTGTTTTCTCTTTTCAGATTGCAGGTAGTAAGAGGGCGACTCACTTAAGCTGTTCAGCTTGTGACTCACAGGCTCAAGGAACGCCTCCTCATACAAAGCATGTTTTGAAAGAAGCGATGAAAACAAATTAAAGGCTGGTCACGGTTCAGAATTCAGCTTCTAAAAAACACTAACAAACTTAGGGTAGATGGCTCTAATTTTTCTCACTCAAGCTCAACATGAGATCCTGCAGCTCCTGAATTATCATTCTCTGATGTGTCTCTCTTTAAAAAAAAACTTGGAATAACTTCACAAATAAAAGACTAGTAGCCAAATTCATGTGAAACACCGGATGATGTCAAATGAAAAGAGCCCTCTCCTTTACTTGTCAGTGCTTCACAAAATTAGCGTCATGATCCGATCAGATGTTCCGTTATAGCAACTTGACAGACCTGTGTTTCTGTTTCCAATGTGATGAATGATCTTTAGAGTTCAGTTTTTAAAGCAACATATGCGTAACGTTTAAAAAGGGGACGTTTTTATGACATCCAATGAATTTATCCTCTGATAAGGAAGACCATGTGAGACCACACTAAGCTCCAGAGCATCCACTCATTGGCCAATATGGCACAGACGACCTGCAATTAGCCATTCCACCCAAAATCAAAGTTTTTCTCAAAACTTGTCCCGTTAAGAAGAGCTTATTGAAGCAAACTGAATGTTACTGTAAATGTAGAAAATCAATATATTCTTAGTAGGGCTGTCAGTATTAACGTGTTAATTCAGATCAATTAAGGTCTGAAAGGAATCCATTCATTTTTTTAAATCACATTATTTGAAGGTAATATCCCCTCGTGACATCAGAACTTTTTACTTTTTTTTACCTTTTAGCTGTTTTCATTTACTTTTTGATCCTTAACCAGTTCCTTTTTCAGTAGTTAAGTCAATGTTGTAACCCTCTAACTACCAGAAGTTCTTTACCTTATCTTTAAAAAAAAAAAAGCAGGTTCGACTTCAAACAGGAAGTAAAGTGCCCTCAGCTTAAGATAGTACAAACATTCAAAATAAAAGCCTGACAAAAACCTTTTTTGTAAATGCAAAATAATGGAATTTCAAAAATGCAAAATAATGCGATTCGTTCTTCAAATTCAGCGAGTCATTGTGTTTAAATTTGTAATCTTTTGACGAAGCAAACCCAACATTGAAAGACCATTTCCTGTTTTTGATTTTTTTCTCCCTGCACCATAGCGTCTTTATGTGGGGGGAAAACAGCCATTTCAAAATCTCTTTTTTAAAGCCAAACTTAAAACCAATACAACATAGAGCACTGTGCAAAGCTGGTTTAACATAAAGGACCATAAAGTGAACAAAAATATGTCCACAGTACTTTAGTGAATACAGTATAACATCTCACTATTGTCTCTCGATGCCCCTGAGGGAAGTGTGTGTAACGGAGCCTCCATGGGTCCTCCATTGTCAGTGAAGAGACAGAACTGGTTATGAGCAGGGGGATCAGTGATACAGGTCAAGAGGGTGGAGTAACACTGGAAGGTCCCTGAACACACACACACACACACACGGGTATAAGTGCATACACACACTTATATTACCACATCAAACGTTACCTACCCAGCATCTTATTAGCAGAACAGTGAATCATTGTTTCCTCATATCCAGTGAGGAGCAGTAAACACAAGTCTGCAAGAGTGTGTGTGTGTGTGTGTGTGTGTGTGTGTGTGTGTGTGTGTGTGTGTGTGTGTGTGTGTGTGTGTGTGTGTGTGTGTGTGTGTTTCTTTCTTTTTCCATTTTAACAGTTTCCCTCTCTTATTCTCCTTTCCAAATTGCTCATGCATTTTATTACTTTTAACTTTGGTGTTTTTCTTCTTTCTCACAGCTTTCTAATCTTCTAACGTCCCCACCTCTAATTTCCTTCTGCTTACAAACAGCTTTTTTTTTTTTTTATCAACCAACCATCTCTTAACTCTCTTCTTTTTTTTTGGTACCGTCTCTGCAGAGTCTCTCCGCTGCAGAAGTCAGAGATTGTGGATATGGTGAAGAAGCACGTCAAGGCCATCACGCTGGCGATAGGCGACGGCGCCAACGATGTGGGCATGATCCAGACGGCTCACGTCGGAGTCGGGATCAGTGGCAACGAGGGCATGCAGGCCACCAACTCCTCTGACTACTCCATAGCACAGGTGGGGATGCAGCTGTAGCATGGAGACCCATAGAAGTTATGTTATCGGTTATACGTACAGTTACAGGCTTTAGAAATAGATAATAGATTCTTGCTTGAAGACACTGAATCGGCTGATCCTGACCTATAACCCCCCTAGAGAGGGAACAACTGGAAGGAGAATCTTCTTACAGGAGTCACTAGCAGTTACAGCATCTTGTATCAGCCCTTCTAATACAGATTGGATGTATTTAATTGAACAATTTAATCAATCACTTAAGCGAACAGCGGATGCTTATCTATGTACACCAACATTTCTCCATTGTAGAAGTCAACAGATATCCCAACCAAGTCAGCGTAGCTCCCATTATAGCTTGGTAGATTAGTCTGTTATGTTGTCTTCCTGGTGGATTCATTAGAAAAGAATGGAATTAAGACGGTTGGTTAATCATTCAGAACATTAATTAATGAGGAATTTCGAACAATCTCACGTTTCAGCTCCTTAGGCATGAGGAATTTTCTGTTCTTTATATTGCTGAATTAAATATCTTCAGATTTTGCACTGATGGTCACAGAACACAAGAAGTCCCCACAGGCTCTGAGATAATGTCAGCGTAACTGGTTTTTGACTTTTTTTAATTTTTTTTTTTACTTAGGTCTAGTTATTCTAATGAGACTCATGAGATCATATCATGATGTGAGAATGATATGCACGTTCTTGTTAGCCTAGCTCTAGACTCGTTCTTATGTCTATTCTGTGTTTTCTATGTTTTACACAATCCATGTGTGTTGGAACGAGTTTCTCCTTAAATTGCAATGAATTGCTCTGTCGTATTTCTAAGTCTAGTCCGTTAATCATGTGTTTGGCCTATCATGACAACCCAACGTTAAAGCGAACGGGATGAAATGCGACCAGAGGACTTTTCTAATTACCGCGGAGTCCAACACATTCTATCACTTTCACCGTCTGAGTTGTTTATCTCTTTGCCTTTGGGCATCTTATCAGTGTGTCTCCTCTTGTCTCAACTTTCTCGTCTGCTAGTCACATTCTTGCCTTTTTCTCTGTTACCTTTCTAAAGCCGCTTTTCACACACGCACTGCGCTCCTGAAATCTGCCTGAGAGTTTTCGGGAGGGGTGCGTGTGGCTGAATTCTTCACTCCAACCAGTCTTTTTCCTGCCAGCCTCATTGTTAAACTTCCACTAGAAGTTGGGGTGAGCCAACATGTAAACACAGCAGGTTATATTCCAGAAAACCTGTCATCCTAGTTCTGCACTCTTGTGCGCCATTTGCCATCTTGGGTATGTCGTAAACAATTAACTGTGGTTTCAGAAGCGTACTTTTACGCCCCCCCCCCACCTCCACCCCATTAGGGGCATGTGTGAAAAGGGGAACTTTCTAGACATTTTTAGCAGTGTTTGTATCAGAGGGCCTCCTCTTATTTCTTCATTATCATCCCTCTATTTACAGTACTAAATCTTTTTTTTTCTACTCTCCTCCTCTCTGATTGGTAGTTCTCCTACCTGGAGAAGCTCCTTCTGGTCCACGGGGCGTGGAGCTACAACCGTGTCACCAAGTGCATCCTCTACTGTTTCTATAAAAATGTGGTCCTCTACATTATAGAGGTAAGAGCCTCACACACACACACACACACACACAACACACACACACACACAGTTACATTAACAGAGACGTTTTGCAGCTGTTTGTCGACATGACTGACATTGATGGACGAGGTGCCCTTCTGGTGTCTGCTTTCTGTCTCTTTTGCACAACACACACACACACACACATGCACAGAAAAAGACGTGTGTTTAGATCAGCAGTTCAGAGACATTGGCTCCAAGGGTCGACAGCTTTGTGTGTGTGTGTGTGTGTGTGTGTGTGTGTGTGTGTGTGTGTGTTTCATGAAGGGGCTCGCTGCCGCTCTGGCCTGCCTGTTATGAGGGGTATTTGTCAGCTGTGCTCAACCCTCCTACAACTCTGTCTGACATTAAGGATGCCAGCAGGTGCAGGTCCTCATGGGAGCCACAGCCTGGAGACTACTGTCCCGTTCACACCACGACCAGTGTGTGTGTTTTAATGTGTGTGTTTCCATGATTATCTCACATGATTGGCTCCTGCAGAGGCTCTACAGGCCAAAGGTTGGAGGCTTTCTCTGTCCACTTGGTGGAGAGAGAATAAGGGGGATGGTCATGTGTGCTTTTTGTGTATCTGACCTCAACCCTGAGCTATATGCTCCGCTTCACTGTACACCCAGGAATGCCACAACTCCCACCACCAGCCCAAAACATTTCACTATCAGCCCTCAGATCAGCCTGTGTCTACTCTGTGTGTGTGTGTGTGTGTGTGTGTGTGTGTGTGTGTGTGTGTGTGTGTGCGAGTGCATGGAGGTGATAATGAAGGTTCCCCTGGGCCAAAGTCACATTTAGACATTGTGTTTTGGCATTATAACTTCTGAGAAGTCAGAGAGTGGTTACCAGGCGACAGCCTGCATGAGGAATTTATAGCTCTCTGCCAGATGATGTAGTTGAGCTATATGAAGTGACATTGCAATTCTCGCACGTTTTACATCTAAAAAAATCACTGTAACAATGCTGGAAAAAACGAGTTCTCTGAGTCTGACATCTTTTTTTATTATTCTAACATAGAGCTCGCACAAAGGGGAACCAGTGCCACAATAATAAGCATCAACAGGCTAGGATCACGATCACGCACTACAGAAGAGTGTAGACTATTTTCTATAAGATATGTGAAAAGAATACATTTATAAAACCTTAAAACCCTAAATTCAGATCCTTAAAATTGGACTCTAGCAACAGAAATAACCAACTATGAAGTGAATAACACGTTTGATTTTTGATTTTCTTCCATATGACGATTTCTGAAAAGGTATTCTAGAGTAGACAAAGTACATAATGCTCCATGTTCTACTGCAATCAACGTTATACTAGCAGCGGCCGTGTTCAAAGTTGAAAAAAGTCACTGTTCGACCTCTTTTGAGATGGATGAGATGATTTATTAATTTATTATTTTTAAGATAAGATACTCACATAAACATTTAGAATAAAAGAGGCGCACATTTGGCCATGTCTCCTTTGTTTCTACTATCAGTCCCTCCCTAAGGCAGATGTACCCCCTGCTTTTGTTCCTCTCATCCCTCTCTTTGTGTCCCAGCTCTGGTTCGCCTTTGTCAACGGGTTCTCCGGCCAGATCCTCTTTGAGCGCTGGTGTATAGGCCTCTACAACGTTGTGAGTATCCATCACTGCTCCTTCTTAAATTGTGTTACTCTTTTCTGTTTCTCCACTTTCTCAGCCCCTTGTGTCCTCCCGTCCCTGTTGACGTAAAGTCTGTCTTTACCTATCTATCCATTCATCTCGCTCTACTTCGTCTCCTTATCGCTGCTCCTCTTAGTGTGTTTTTCTTGTGTTTTGCTGTCTGCTCTGTGTAACTTATGTGTCTGTCTGCTGAAACCTTCCGGCTCCACATTTTAAACATTAAGGAATTCCTTTAAACGCAGACAGTCTGATTGTCCACCTAAACCCCATTATTCAAGAATGCTGCTTATGTGTTTATTTTGCGTGTGATGCAGATATTTACTGCGCTGCCGCCGTTCACTCTGGGGATATTTGACCGGCCGTGCAGCCAGCAGAACATGCTCCGATTCCCCCAGCTCTACCGAATTACCCAGAATGCCGAGGGCTTCAACACCAGGGTACGTGCAAACAAGTCACAGTCGGAGAATACCGAGTGGTGCTAGCTGTTTGTTTGGGACGCGGGCTAGTCAACAAAAGAGTGGCAAGGAGACTGGGATGTTTCCGTGGCAACCTAAAATAACATTCAGCGGGCCGGAATAAGAAAGTCTTTCTTTTTAGAGGGTTCACCGGCAACCCCACCTACTGTACTGTACTGTGTGTGAGTTTGTTAGTGTAAAGTACCGGAAGGCACTTTTGATGACGTGAATACTGTGAAAGTTGTATGTAACTATTAGAAGTAGTGTGTGCGCATATATGTGCTTTGGAATAAGTTTTCCTGACATGTTTTCCTCTACTTTCTCCTCTGTCCATCCCTCTCAGGTGTTTTGGGGTCACTGTATCAATGCACTGATTCATTCAATTATTCTCTTCTGGTTTCCGCTCAAAATGTTAGATCATGGTAAGTAAACACACAGAGTTATTCTTCCACTTTCTCATCACTCTTGCTTGTTCGACCTAGTCATGAGGCATCTGTGTTTGTTTGTTTCCCTCAGACTCTCCCTTCAACAACGGTCAGGGAAATGACTACCTGTTTGTTGGAAACATGGTGTACACAGTAAGCTCTACACTTGTCTGCCATGTGCCTTGTCTGCGATCTGTTTTTAGTTCTCTCTTTTGGCATAGAGATTGTTGGACAAACACAGCATTCGTGTACTCACCGACACTGTGCTGCTTCCTCTGAGACATTTAAAGTCTCCAGTCAATCTGAGCTCGTCTAGCCAGCCTGTCTCCTCCAGGCACTCATCCATCTCTTTGCTGTATTCACTTCTCTATCTCACACTCTCTCAATCATCTCGCTCCCTGCAGTCTAATGTGAACGTCAGTGGTGTTTATTTGTTGTGTTGTGAGCGTGTAGACTCCAGGGGGGCTGTAGGGGTCCTGAGTATTTTAACAGACATTGCTGAGTTTACTATACAGCATTAATGTTTATTATCTCCACAGTCGCACACTAATCTTCCTTCTCTGTTTTTTATTTGCCCCTCCCTCTCCTGTGTGTGTGTGTGTGTGTGTGTGTGTGTGTGTGTTTGTGTAGTATGTGGTAGTTACAGTGTGTCTGAAAGCTGGAATGGAGACCACCGCTTGGACCAGGGTAGGAACAGTAACACACTCTACTGTTTGGCACCACATGTTCTGTATTTTACTCAAGCGTTCATAGATAAATAGGAGTGTGTGGGGGGGGACGGGGCTCTGCCAGGATTTCAGTGTGGGGTTCTCAGATAACCCAATTTAAATGTGTCATAGTCAGGAAAGATGTGGGAAAAGACTTGACTTACCCTGATCTTGTGGTGGAGGTTTTGGATTCTCCACTGCAGTTGCTTTGCACCTTTTCTTCAAACAAGTTTAGTCTATCTAAACATTTATAGAAATTAAGTAAAATGACCGACTATAGATTAAAAAAATGACTAAACAGTACAAGTATCTCAAAGGTACTTAGAGTTAGAGTTTGCATTAAATATTACCCAAAAAGAATCTTTGAGGTCTAACCAAGCAAAAACCTCTGGTGTTAAAAATTACACAAGTGGAGAAGTGCAAAAAAAAAGTTGAAGTTCAGTAATAGAAGTGTTTACAGGCTGTTTTAATAAATAGTTTTACTTATTAATGAAAACTCAAACTAAACTCAAAACATTTGTTGAGGTGCGCTGGATAGGCTAGCTAGCGGTTATGTCATGCGCCACATGTACATAGGCTATAATACTCGTGGTTCGAATCTGATCTCTCCAAATGATCCCTCACTCTCTCCTCCAAGCATTTCCTATCTCTCTTTCGCCGACCCTTATCTTATACGATATTTCATTTCATTCTGCCTCTCTATCACATGACAGCAGGTCTTGGGTCCATCGACACTGCTTAAGTCGGTGGCCCACACTTTCAGGAGACATACAACAGGGAGACCAACACATAGAAAAATAACTCCATGTAGGTTTAAAAAGTGCTTTAAGTGTCTGAACTATGACAAATCCACATCATGGCTGCCGAGACAAAGCACATCTCAGTAAAGGAGAAAAACAGTTGCGAGAAGAACAGACGGCCATCTGTTAGATAAATAGTTTATACAGAAACATAAGAGTGCAACAGATTCAGTTCAACATACTTAACCCAGATGCCCTCATTCCATTCAAAGACTGTCCTGTTCAAGTCATGAGAAATGTATTTTACCCTCATCTGTATGGTTACGTCAAAAGTTGAAACACTACGGTCTAGTGATACACATTTCTGCACATACATCTAATACCTGTATCATTGATCACTTTGTGGACACTCCCTTTAATGTTTCCAAGATTTACCCTCTACATGCCCCAGTTTCATTCTCTATTAAAAAAAAGCCGTACACAATCGAGGGCTGCACAGTGTTAGGTCATGGAGATGAGAAGTGAGAAATAACCTGTGTTGGGTCCAGTTCAATCTGAAGCCCCTCTCCCCTCCACACCGATGATGTAAGCAGCTCAGAAAATGTTGCTGGTTACTAATAAAACATACTAGATGGTAAAAAAAAATGCCAGATGTACCATGATAATTCACAAACTCATGATATCATGATTTGATGATTTGTTTATTTATTATAAGAACTGAGCAACATAATAAACATCAGTCTAATAAAAATGGATTTAAACATGCCAGAGCATTGGAACACAGGGAGCAGAGATGGGTGTTGAATTTAGGACAACAGTAGCCCGGGGCGTGATGGGAGACATGATTTGGCTCCTCGCTGATGTCAGAGAGAGAGAGAGAGAGAGAGACAGAGATTGGCAGGATGCACAGAAGGGCGCTGACACTTTAGCCCGCTCAGCTGTCCGCACAACAGCCTGGCAGTAATGAAGCAGGGTCTCGCTGGAATTCACACAGTGTCGCCTTTCAGCAGATCACAGAGAGCAGGATGAAGACAGGGGAAGGAGGGAGGGAAAGGTTGTGTATATTCGGATGAGCTGTATGTAAACTATTTGATCGCACGCTGCCTCTCATTTCTCTATTGATCTCCATCACCTGCTGCTCTTCTTCTTTCTTTCTTTCTTTCCTTCTCTCTGCTGTAGTTTTCCCACCTGGCTGTTTGGGGAAGCATCGCGCTCTGGATGGTCTTCTTCGCTGTCTACTCCGCCATCTGGCCCACCATCCCCATCGCCCCTGACATGCTGGGCCAGGCAAGTCACACTATAAACACGTGTCACTCATTTCAGTAACAGGGGGTGAGGGGGGTTAAAATAGCTCTCACCTCTACATCTCTTTTCTGCAACCACCACCTGCCCCTCCCTTGTTCTTGGTTGCAAATACATGGCGCCTACGAGACTCACCTCTTGGGTGTTCCACGTCGGCACTGCTGGAGCCCAGGGGGAGATTTATGCCCTGCCAGGCCCCCCCCCCCCCCACCAGGCTTCCCGCACCTGCTGCGTGTCACCCGAGCCCCGGTCTTTTACTGCCCTCTGTGGAGGTGTTGACTCAAGAGGGTGGGCTGCTGCTGCTGCTGCTGCTGGGGATGATGATGATGAGGGTGTGCGTGTGGACCCCTTGATTGGGAGACTCATTTCAAAGTTTGGGGATCAGAGGGGGGCTGAGGTGAGGTGCCCCACTGAGTGGGCAGAGAGCCGTGGGGAGGGGAACAGGGTCGTCTAAACTCCCCTTAGCCCATTAATTCAATTTGTGTCAGAAATCAGGAATGCGGTCAAATATCTCTGCAGCTGCTCAGACTAACTGGGGAATGGTCAGAGACACTCAACCACCAATCCCCCCCCAATCGTCCCCCCTAACTGCCCTATTACCGCTCTTATTTCCCCTGCTCCTGCTATCTATATTTCCATCTGTCCATGGGGGATGTAATGGAAAAGAGCGGTGCATTTCTGCTCTGAATAGCTGTGTGTGTACGTTAGTGCATATAGAGCATTGTGGACCAACAGTCTGTAGGTCTGGACAGAACGAATCACAGAGAGCCACAAGGCATGCCTCCACTCTCGCAGTGTAAAAACCATGTGATACAATGTGTGTCCACTGCTCACAGCATGTTAGGTGTGTGTCCCATACAGAAAGACAGAAGGATGAGTGAGTTGGATCTTTTGTGGTATGGTTGTGATTCCAGCTGCTGAAGAGGATATTTCCTAATGGTTTTCTGATTCATTTTCCCTGTTTCCTCCACCTCTGGGAACTGACTTGTCTCTGTATCTCTGTATCCGACACAGCACACAGGAAGCACATGATATGGGTAATAAAGAAGAAGCTGGGGCGCATAAAGTGTTTGTGAATGTTGACATGTGCTAAGAGACAAAGACTACGGCCCTGTGAAACAGAACAGAGCTCTTGGAGGATAAGCAGAGCAAAGATATTGGGTAATGAGGGGGAAACGGAGGGATTACAGTCCAGGGCGAGGACAAGCATTAAGATACTGTTGCTTATAACGACAGAAAGTTGAGAAAGAGTAGTAGGAGTAACAGGGAAGGAGGCAGACGGACAAATTGAGACACTGCTTAAATGCATGATTAATCCTCAGAGGCACACTGGGGAGGGGGTTAAAGGTCAATGAGGCTGGCTGCAGCTGGACTGCAGAGATGGTTCGGGGGGGGATCTGTGATTACTCACATGCATTTTTAGGTTTGAGCCTCAAAGAAGTGTCGCATTTCAGCTGCTGGAACACTGTTAAATCCAGTTAGTGGTTTAGATGTGCTGTGAGAGAAAGCTCTTAACTATGTTTGACTAACATTAAAGCTATTGAACTCTGGCTAACTTTTTTTTTTTTTTTTTTTTTTGCTGTAAAATGCTTTAGATATGCCGTGTCTCACATTTATGACTGACTTTCCCACATACTGTATGTTTCTCTGTGCTTGGCTAATACTTGGTTTGAATTAATGCACGAGTGAAATAAATGGAGCCTGTGTGTTCGTCATTGCAGGCTGGCAAGGTGATGCAGTGCTGGCACTTCTGGCTGGGCCTGGTCCTGGTGCCTACTGCGTGTTTACTCAAAGACTTTGCTTGGACGGCGTAAGTAGAACACATTTCATACAAATACCCAGGAAATCCATACTGAGACTATTTAACAGAACTGAAGCGTTTACATAACCCGCATTGAGTCTGTGTCAACACTTACGTACTCTTATGAATCACATGTGTCTGCATGCACTCAAACTTTCCTTCTTAAGTCTGATGGGCTGCTCTCTCTGCTTTGCAGCACACGTCGCACTGTGAGGAAGTCTCTCCTGGAGGAGGTGCAGGAGTTGGAGGCCCGGGCTGTCGACCCCGGGGCAGCTGTACTGAGGGATGCCAGCGGCCGCAGGTATGGAAAGCATGCTGCGAAGCATCCTGGGAGCTCACCTGCATCCACGTCCAGTTTCATTTCTGTCACCAGTCAGTTTAGTCATTGATTCTGTTTTACTTCGCAATTTTTAAAAGTAAAAATATGAGTAAGTGGGTATCCCACGTTATAACAACTGCATTAGCCACATCTGTAATCAGATTTAAAGCAACCCAATACAACTGCTCAATGATCAATTCTACATGAAGCTGTGTGTTAAGATTAAAAATGTACATGTGTTTTATTGAGAAAGTTTATTGAAGTGGACTGCATTATACAACTAGGTGTTTTTCTTATTTTTAAAAGATGAGAGGGGAAGGAACATGTGGGTAATTAGAATCTAATTTTGTTATACAACACCATCTCGTACTACACTATTAAATAACGATCTTAACACCTTAACACCGTAACACCTTCCAGAGATGTTGACCAACAATGAACCATTACAAGCTTTGTAGTGGAAAAATACATGTTAGAGCTGTTGTCCTGGGTTGCATCAGACTGTAATACTGAAGCTAAGAAAGTGGGCGTATGAGTGCATTTGTTTGTGTGTAAGAAGATGAACAGCACTTAACTCCCCCGGTGGTGCCATCCACAGGGCCGAAGCAAAAGCTGAGGTCCCGTAGCTCCAGAGCGGTCAAATGCTCACAGAGGTAGTTTCTTGGTTTGCAATGTCCCACTGAGGAGCTGCTGTGGAGTGACTCTTGCTTGTTTTGAGTTCACACCCTTCTCTTTTTAAAAAAAAACATCTTTGAATCACTTGCTCCCCTTTGTTCTCTGCATGATTTCAAATGTTTGATTTCTTTTCTTATGTCTTGTTCTGCTACACCTTCATGTCTGGATTGCTTCATAGATGGATCAATTTGAACTGCTGTACCGACCTGGTGTGTCTTCTGGTTTTGTGTGTAGTTCTCTCACTGTGATTTAGCTTGTGTGTATGGTGTCACCAGAGCTGTGTTAGAAGCAGTTGTATTGTGTATTTTATTTTTCCCAAGTTATACAAACAGTATTCTGCTCTTTAGATTATATAGGCTTGACAATTTGTACCAAAGTATATTTATTGAGAGGTACTTTAAACATCAACTTCAAAACATTTTAGAGCCGTATTATTGTCCACTTGAGGCCGGCTGCTAAAGCATAGATTGTATAAAACATGAATGCAGTCTCAGTGACGTCACCCGTTGGTTTCTGATGAGGCACTTTGAGGCACAACAATGGTGGTCTCCATGTTGGAAATACTACCTCATCCTTACTTTCAATCAATTTAGAAACCAGGAATAAGGTGGAGATGAGGCAGGTCTAAGCCTCCTGTCCAACAGCTTCAACGTACCCAACCGTCAGTCAGCTCATTCAAGCCTTTTTCAACTCATACAAACAAAACACATTTATTTATAAAAATAAAAAAAACCTGCACAGATTTTTCCTAAAAGGAGGGACCGAATCCATTTTTATAAACAAGGCTGTAAACATCTCTATTTCTGCTGTTAAAAAAAATGCCATTTTATGCACTTCTGTATTGTCTTAATTTTCAACACCTAAGGTCTCCACTTGTGCCAAAGCCAAGGAATCCCCAATTTCAAAAAGTACAACTTGGTGTTAAGTAGAGTCAGATTTGAATGAGTCCGTCATAAAGTCAAGCTGCTTTCTGAACAGCACTGGAGAAGTAAGTGGTTTGTTTTCATGTTAGGGAGGGAAGAGTGGAGAACCACACTGCTGCTCCTATCCCCCATGTAGGGCCCCGTCCTGGACTGACCCCACTTTAAATCCAGGAAAGTAGGACTGAAATGTGGGGCCCTCTCCATTTAGTATAAGACACGTAAAGTATCTGTAGGCAGAGGAGCAGAATGGAAAAAGAGCACATCTGTGTTTGTAGTTCCTGAGGAGGTCCCGGGGTAGGTATGGGAAATAGCTGCAAAGGTAGAGGGCAGGAGCGTCTCCGGGGAAGAGTTCAAACGATGCACATCCTTGGAACTTTTTGAATCAGGGGGAAACCAGAAAGAAACGTTGCAAAAGGAAAAGGACAATTTGATTTGTACTGATGCATGAGTCATCGATCCAACAGACATCTTTTTCTTTGGCAAAGGACTCCTGCAGTCTTTGTTGCAGGTTTCCAACCTTCACACACAGTGTTAAGAATTTCCAAGCTTGCTTATCCAAATTTTAACCTTGGGACTGATGGCTCAGGTCCATAACTGCTCTGTTGATCATCAAAAGATCCAAGAAGACCACTCTTGAGACGCGCATTCTCCGTTTACTGCTGTCCAAAAGGTGTTTTTTCAGACACAATTGGGAGAAAAGTGACTTTCTGAGGCACTCTGGGTTCTTGAATTTACATCCAAAACATCTGCTAATAACTTAAATAGTCGTCATGATGGTATTAGGGTTAAAAAAAAAAGGAGTGCGTGTGTGTTTGTGTGTGCATGCATTTGCGTGCAAAATCTGGAAAGGACTTAGTTATTTTTGGTCATAGGAGGAGAGGAGCCGTGACGGCGTGTGGTCTCCCAACAGAGGATCCAGTCTTCTTCTTGGAAAGGGGGGACGAAGAGGAGAGGAGTAGGGGGAGGTCGGGGGAGGTCGGGGGAAAGTTTTCTGTGGATGTCCTGTTACCCTGAAGCACTTTGTGACTAACTGTTGGCTTGAAATTGGTTGTAAGGGGCAGTCAGTATTGAATCCACCTTCTCCTAGTTCTCTGGTTTTTAAATCCACAGAGTACTTTCACATTTAATCTTTAGCTACACACAATTGAAGGCAAAAGTGGGACAAAGTGCTGAGAAGTGTGTGCTCATATAACAAAGTGACCAATAGGTTGTAAAGAGGGTTAAAGATCTATCGATAGTTATAGCGAGGCTTTGACAATACCGTTTGTATCGCTATAGTACGTGTTAAAATAATGTTGTATATGTTTCTTCAGTGTAGTTGCAGTTTGCCTATTTGTCCTCTCACTGTGTGTCCCTCTTCACCCTGCCACACCTCTCTCTCTCTTTGAGCAACACTCCCTGCATAAGAAAATACACAACTGTACATCATTTGTTATGCAGGAAAGGAACATGTTTTATTTATTGGATGATATGTTAGGAGCTTTTTTTTTTTTAATTCTCAAACAGGAAGTTGGAAGTATGTTTAATGTCATTTTTCAAGCAGCAGGCTGTAAATAAAAGTGCCTGTGTGACATTTGGAATGTGGCCCATGTGGATTTGACTTTAACTAGACTCTGTTTTTGTTATTAAAATACAGAAATAAATATCAAGATATATATATGTTGTATCACCACTCAGCGAACCAGCCCCCTCTTTGTAGTGTTGTGTAGAATTGTGAATAGTTGAGATTCCTTCTTAAATGAACACTAATGGTTATGTATCATCCCTCTGTGTGTGGAGTAACTTTATCTTTGTTTTTCTCTGCAGTCTAAACGAACGGGCCCATCTGCTGACAAGAGTCTTTAGGAAAACGCCTTCAAGCGTAGGCCGCTCCAACTCGGTGCAGCAGACTGTGTCACGTGAGTGTGTCCTTTTCTGAACAAATTAACTGGAATGTTATAGCGGTCCTGCTTTAATGAGACTCTGTCAATATTGTGTTAAATGGACATTTGATGTCATCTCTTTTTCATTTGGACAGGATCTATTGTTAACTGATGTTACGTGTGCACAACATCAAATACACACAGGGTGTAAACATGTACTTATTTTCTCTGCTGGAATCCTTTGTTAAGTTCTCAAAAGCATGTGTAATGGACACTGGACAATCCGTATATCTGTATCAGTGGCACTCATAGTATATCAGGAACATGATGCACCACAGACTTCAGACTCCGGCTGGTGGCATAACGTGAAGTCGTTTTCTCAGCTCTCTGCCTAACCACACCTCATTTTTATATATACACACCCCTTCGGCCCTGACAGGAGTTCAAGTTCATTTACTATTTCAACAGTGTGAGCAGCACTGGGGGTTCAAAAGACAATTGCGTCAAGGAGGAATATAGAAAAAGACACCTGCCAGCGTCTGTTCGTCTTGAATTGTAGTCTTGCTGCAATACTCCGCCATTATGCATCTATGATCAGCATCCCTGTGTGGGCGGTGCCGTCTGTTTTTCCTTATATGGTGGCAGTGCTAGGGGTTGGACGGGGAAGGGCTTTAATTGAGACATACATGTAATAAAACATTTTGAGCCTCTGAGTGACACATAAACAACCTGAAGGGAGCACTGACCCGGAAGTGTGAACACAGAGCGTAAGGAAAAGAACAAACCCAGAGGGAGTTTGACTTTTCACTTTTTTTTTTGCATCATCACTCGACGAAAATCTAAATTTGATGTCCGCTATGTGATTGTTTAAACCTTTGAAGAATCATAACAGTCCTGTCATGAATGACAATTCACCACGTCTTCTTTCCTCTCTCTGCAGATGGTTACGCCTTCTCTCAGGAGGAGCACGGCGTGGTCTCCCAATCGCAGGTTGTGCGCTCCTACGACACCACCCGCCAGCGCCCCAGCCTCTAGCCCCGCCCCTGACCAAGGCTTCGGCTCACCAACCAATGGTTGTCAAGGCGACAGCGGAGATAGACTCATGTGAAACTCTCACACCGAGTGACTGACCCCTGCTGTGGCCTTACTTGGAACTATGACCTAACCCCCAAGCCAGGGGAGGTGGTGGGGGGGAGGGGGGTCACGGTCAGGCGTGGAGGCCGTCACTGGCGCACAGAGGACTGACTTGAGAGTAGGGACCAGGTCGACTTTACGGATTAAACGTTCTTCAAACTCACACAAGTTGCAAAAGCATGAGCAATCATATCCACGCACAGACATGAAAAGTCAAACTCAGAGACTGCTCCTCATATCAGTATACTCCTCAGACTGGGTTTGCTTCATGGCACTGTGTGTTTACGTGTGTGTGTGTGTGTGTGTGTATGAGTGTGTGTATGTGTGCGTGCATTCCAGTGCGTCTGTATCTGCCTGTGCATGTATGTCCGCACGCGTCGGCGCTCCTGTGTTTGTGTGCATGTGTGTGTCTATCCCTGCGTGTTCCACAGCTCCCTCTCATCTCTCTCGTGAGGTGGGTTTAGCTAATCAGTCATCACATGCCGGGCGCGGGAGGGGAGGGGATGTCAAAATAAACACACGCACACATGCACTGATGAATTAAGGCGGGACTTAGAGAGCCAGACACTGAGGACTGCACCTCAGCTTCTACAGCCCCCAACTCTATATCCCATCATAGCACTGAGCCTCACTGCCAAACACTACTGAGATGCCACTGAGGCAATACGCTAACGCCAAACTGGACCACCACCCTGCCCTGCTGCAACCCCTCCAACCTCACTGGGGCATACCAACGCTTTCTTTCCTCTGTCTCTCATCACATCTCCTTGTTCTGGCCAGTTTTTCTAAAACTCCACTTTTTTTCCCCCAGTTGTTTCTCACTGCTCCTGTGAGTCTCATCATGCATCGTCAGCTGACATTGAAGAAGAGAGCCTGGCATTAGAGCTTCCTCCTTCACTTTTGTTGGCTTTCTTTACCGAGATCTTCCTTTTTTTTATTAAAGTGGACATTAACGTGTACTTGTTTATATTGTTTTTTTTCTCTCTTTTTCATTAATGCCTGTTTTTGTACTCATGTGGAGATCTGTCATAGAGGGAATATTTTACTTGAATTAGTGCTAATAGGCATCCAAAACCGAAGGGATCTCGCCTGTATTGTGTGTGTGTGTGTGTCTGTCTGTCTGTCTGTGTCTGTGTGTGTGTGTGTCTGTCTGTCTGTCTGTGTCTGTGTGTGTGTGTGTGTGTGTGTGTGTTTTGGCTCTGGGACTTGTCTGAATGTACAGTAGAGTCCATCGTCTGTGTGCTCTTTGTTGAGGACACTCCTGTTAAAGAATGCAAGACTGAAAGGGAAGGAGATGGGGGGATGTCCATCTGAGTCCTAATCATTAAAACTAATCAATCCATGGCCTAACTAAATGTCTCCGTGTCTTGACTTTAAATGTGTGGATGCCAGGTATGAGTTTGGTTTATATTGTCTGCTTAAAATCAATCAAAAGGGCCTAATTTGTACATGACATGGGTATTATTTCATATGTAACCACAATCAAACCTCTCCCAGGCTCCTTTAAACTCAGGGGGGACAAATTGGACGGATCGTTAGCCGATTAATGCACCCCCCCCCCCCCTGTCTCTGGACATCCAACTGGAGATCCCCTTTCCCACCCACCTTCCTGGATGCGGCCCAGTCCAAACCGACTACAGCTGCTCCAGTATGGAGAATCCATCGGGCCGAGCAGGAGCCAGAGAGCCAGTTATGCTTTTCAACTTCTCCCCAGTGACTCCCCAACAGCCAGCTCCGTTTTCCACATAAGTGATGTTTCTGTAATGGCATGCCAGAACTACACCTCCTGATCTCTGTCATAGTTTTAAACTATCCATTGTTGTTGCTTCCTCTCTCTGGGATAAGGTGACGTGACAGGCACGGTGTGGGTGGTGGAGCTTACTTTGAGTGGGTGTAATTATGTTTCTAAAAGCCTAAATAGAAGAGTTTGCTGTTTCAAAGGGATAAGAATCTCAGATAGTTCTGTGCAAAATCTCTTCATGCAGTTGTTTTTTTGGAAACCAAGTGTGTTCTTAAATATCACTCAAAAAAAAGAAATCTTCTTCAAAAGCACAAAGAACCACTTGTTGTGTTGTAACAAACATCATGAGACGGCTCAAAACATGTTTTTTTTAATGGTGCTTAAAAGCTGTTTATTTGTAGTATTCATATGGCATCAAAATTGGACACATTTTCATTCATCATTCTACAGATCTTATTTCACCACACACAAGCTGCCCACTGTGTCTAACAGACATTGTGCTTGGAGAGCAGATGCAAACATACCAGTTATTCAGTACTTAGGGACATCTCATGCTGCATGCTCAGTGGAGCAGCACATTCCTCAAGTTGCATATTACTGAGTTACCTGTGACCCAGCTGCACCACAGTACAATGAAAGACTTCAAAATGCAACTTCCAATCGTTTTTTTTTTTGGGATTAGCAACTTATAACCACAATTTTTGTGCCTTTTCACAGTGGAAAATAATGACTCAAGCTTCCCCGGAGCTGCGTTTGCCCTCTGCACCGAACTGTAGGAGTGTTAAATACACACTTGTAACAGGAGAGAAACAAAGGGGGTATTTGAAAGAGTTTTTTGCAGTGTTAAAAAAAAAAAAAAACTCAGCTGTGATCTTCATAGAACTGACTCCTCCCTCTCTGTCACACACTCACACTTGTCAGGTACATTAACTGTTTTGCGTCATTGCTTTCTATTCAGTTGGTGTGTTTCCGTTTAGGGCAGTTGAGGATTTTTTTTTTGGGGGGGGTGTTTTTTTTTTTCTTTTTGGGTGGCAAGAGTAGGGGGCTGGAGGTGTAGTGTATGGGTGGAGCGTCACAGTCTATGTCCTGTGTTCACTTCATTAGAGTTTAAATGGTCTGCAGGGAGATTGCAACTGCCTTTCACATCACACCACCTGCATTTCCCATTACACACACACACACTCTCTCACTGTTACTCACACAGCCCTGTCCATCCACACTTCACACTAACTCGCATACATACAGTACAAACATCTCTTCACATGCTTTCACTCCTCATACTTTCTACATAAACAAACATGCACTGTATGTCGGTGCAGATGTGCACATAGCAAACACGGCATGTGGCCATCATTTTTTTTTGCTCAAAAATCCACTTTTCATACAGTTTACTGCTAAAAATCAGTCATCACTCAATCCAGCTCGTACAAGCCAACAAATCTTTCCCTCGCTCTCTTTCAACATACACAGAATCCCACATGCACAGTCCTTGTTTGTCATGTGGGCTGCAGTGAGCCATGCATGGCCGTCCATATGGGCTGTTGCACCATCCAATTTGCAGTTTTGCCTTTGAATCAAGACAGAATTTGTTGTTGTATTCCATCATATGCTGAGTTTAGCTCATCCCAACTTGCCAAGAGATCATATTACAGACAATAAACAGACACACAAATCACACAATAGTAAGGCAGACCCTGCTGCCTCATGAGTCCTTCATGTGAGTCTGATTTCCTGCTTTCCTTCCCCACTCCAGCAGCGTCCCTTAAAAAAGGTCTCTGGCACCGCCCTCACAGGTTTAAACTTCACAATAGAGTGGTCTGCACGTCGCTCCCTCGTCATACAGTCACAGGAGGGAATTTATGGTCACTGGTTACACTGCACCCACCAGTGGGAGGAGGGCAGGGGGACTGGAGGGGTCTGTATCCTCCCTGAGTGGGGTCCAAGTAGGCCGTGGTAGTGGCCATAGGGTGGGCATAGCCGATGTACTGTGGGTGCAGAAACTGTCCCTGGTGAGGCATGATTTGTGTTGCCTGCTGACAGTTGAGCACAGAGAAGTTAGTGGGCATGTTCACAAAGACGCTAGCATCCGGGGGCAGGCAGCAGGAGGCCTGAGCCCGCATGAGGGGAGGGGGAGCAGGGCGTGGGGCAGCCGGTGGGGCGGAAGAGCTGGACGAGGTTGCTGTGCTGGACTGGCGGGAGGATGAGCCTCTGGAAGTCCCTGCACTGGCCATCATAGGGATGGTCTCCAAGAGGCGACCACTGCCAGCCCCACTTCCTGTCGCACCTCCTGATGTCAGCTCCTGTTTGGGCCGGAGGCAGCGCAGCAGCACACAGCGACCACAGAGCCCACCAGGATGAAAGCTACAAACACAGAGCCCACGATCAGGAAGGGCACATAGATGGGCACTAAAGAGAGAGATAAAAAAAACAAAAAAACACACAGATTAAAAAAACTTTTTGGGTAGCATATCTCCTTTAAAGCACAAACATGTTTGGGTTTTCTGTCTAGTCAGAGCTCCTATGTGAGAAAAGATTGGGTGAGTCAATGAAACAAAAGCTTTGGCAGAGAGGAGAATTTGGAATTGGGTAGAAGAATGAAAGGTACACAGGGATCAGGTCCCCAGGGAGTCCTGGCTCTCATTAGCAGTTATTAACTTTGTTTTGATCTGTTTTAATCCCCAGCCCCCTACTGTGTCCCTAACCTCCTCAACCCTGCAGACCTGTGAGATTGTGTGTGTATGCGTGTGTGACATTCTTACAACCAGCTGCCAGCAGATATTTGGGAAACCTTCTTTATTTCTTCCTCTATTACCCTTTGAAAATAAGTTACTCAAGCTGAACTACAGTTTTTTGTCTTCAGCTTAAAGAAAGGTATTAAAGTTGACTGATTAAACGTAGCTGAACGGGAGGTTATTCAAGCCCTTTTAAATCAAAGGAGTAAGCCAATTCCTTCTCACTGACCTTTCATTTCTTTGTGTTTAAAACACTAAGTCAGACTCGGTAAGACAGCACTTGTGCAACTCCAACAGTGTCACAGATCAGAGTTTGAGCTGCTGGGTAAAATAGCACTGTATAAAGAAAAATCTAACAACTTCAAAAAAGTAGGTGTCTGGGTGACCTTGGCCTTGTATTCAATCAAAGCAAAACCTTTCATCACTTCCGTCTTACTAACTTGTTTTTATTTCGCTTAACTTGTATTTTCAAGTTGATCCATTTTCAAGGCAGGACTTGAACTAGGGACCTTCTGAGTGTGAGGCGACAGCACTGCTCTGTTTAGCCATTTTGTAAAAAAAAAGTATTTATTTATATTTCGGTCAACAGTAGGTTTATCCTTTTTTAAATCCTGTTCTTAATTTCCAAAACATTTTGTAAGATGGAAAATTTGACATTACTTGAGATGACATAAACACACAATTATTGAGTTACCAAAATGATGACTGTTTTTGCAGTGCAAAGGCATTATTAACTCGAAACAACAATAACTGTCTTTAAGAACCGAAGCCTCTTTATGAGACGCGGGATATAACTGCCAGGCCATCCCCCGCCCATGCTATAGTTTTTTTTTTTTTTAAAGAGGGCGACCTGGGTTCTACTCTGTCCCTTTCCCTTTGGCCCATGTCATTTCCCACTCTCTTATCATCTTCTACAACAAAGGCAGCAGAGTCGTACTGCACCTTTTAGCTTATTAGTAAAAGCACACAACAAAGTTTTGTGCAGAAACGGGGCAACAGATGAGGTAAAACCCACTTCTGAGGTGTTTTCCTCCAATGCTCACTCACAGAAACACCTTAGGAGTGATAAGTTGTGTTTTAATGTTCCCACAGGGTGTGTTTATTTTCCGCTTTGAATGTGCCCATGTGTGTAACTGTATGCCAAAGACAGAGAGGTGGCAACTGGCTCCAGTTTCCTTTTGTCTCTGGGCTCTTTGAAATTCGTCCATACGGCCTTGAGAAATGTTTCGAGAAAGCTCATCAAAAGTAGCGTGGTATTAAAAAGGATTACTGAGGGAAACTTGTTAAGAGCTTGGGGACATGCATCGGCTGTGGGGGTGAGTCCAGGTGACAAAAGACATAAACCAGCCACAGCGGAGGCCGGGACACTGTGGCATGAAACAAACTAGGACCTTGACCCATTTCCCTATGACAAGAAGTGGTGTCAACTTCAGAGGCTCAAGGCTAACACCTTCCAGTAAACAGGTTTTAACAGTAACTCTGCTATGTCAGCACATATATAAGTTACAAGAGCAGAAATGTCCCAGGGACCGTTTGCTTGCTCTCTTTTTCTGCACTTATATGGCCTCCACCTCAACATTTCTTCCTCCATGTCGTTTACAGCATGACCAGTGAGGATTAGTAATAGCAAAAACTTGCGTCTTGTGTTACTTCATCCCTTCTTTGACTGCTGGGCTCCTCTCGAAAACACTCTACTGTAAATCAGTGCTGAGGCCAAATGCAATAAAGTTTCGAGAATACAGTGATGGAAAAAGTCCTCAGACCCTGTACTTCATCAAAAAATGAGGCCTAACAATCCTACTCAGAATATTCCTTTTTGAAGGGTCGGGAAATGGCCAGATATATTGTTTAATGTAACATTAATACAGCATATTGTTGGCCTACCTATGCCTGTTTGGGTTATTAGCTTTTTGCTAATTGTGGAGCTAGTTGTAGCAACTTTATACTTGAGTGAAAAAGTCCAGTTTAGATATGGATGGGTTTCGCTGCAGTGTATCTAGATAACGCTTTTCAGTTGTTATCAGAGTTAGAGAGAAGAAACAAGACAACGTGTCTCGAGTTGTGACAAGCACACTGCTAGAATTTGCTTTGAGCCAATTGCTAACGCTAACATGTGCTAAAGTTGAGGCTTGTGGATATCTTGAGTTGCTTTAGGAAATATCATTAGGCTACATTATACTAAAAATATTTCTCTAAATGTAAAAATCTGGCAGATGGAGTAATTGTGCTTTACTGAAAGTAAAACTGCCAAACTCTGGTTCGTTATTTAACAACGTATTGCATTCCCTATTGCAACCCTTGTATTCTGGAGGGGTACAAGTTTATTGGGCAACAATTAACTACACTTGTCAAAAAGCTGTTTTTGTTAAGTATTAATACAAAATTTGCATTAAAAACTACACTTAGGGCTACCACAGAATGCGCATTAGTAGACCTTTGCTAAAAACACACATTAACTTCATACCACTGATGTACTATCCTGTTGCATACAGTACATCAAATCAAAAAGAACTGTTCCTGGGACTTAACTGTCTTCTGTATTTTAAAAAGTATTTTAATCTTTACTTCTTGCTCTGTGTGACCTTCTCATCCTGTGCACATAGTGGCTGGACCCTCCTATTGTTCGCTGTCACTCTTCCACACCTGTTGCCTGAGTTGAGTCGCGGCAGCCATACCGCAGTAACAGCAGCCCCCCTCTGTTAAGCCCTTGTTTTGGGCACAGTCTTTTTGTGACCCTCCCTTGTCTCCCCAAGCTGTCCCCTGGGCGTTCTCTTGTTCCTAAATACCATGTGTTCCTTCTTGTTGAGCACATTAATAATTTCCTGCCTGTTATCCATTGACATTACAGTGTGTATCTTTCCTTGATGATTAATAGGCTGCAAGCGAATGGAAAATGAATTCAATGCACAAACTGAACCAGGCCTATAAAAAAAAAAAAAAACATGCACTTCCTTTCTTCTTTAGGAGGAAAAAAGCTGCTTTTCTGTAAGTTATTTTGGCTTCAAGCCACTGAATGAAATGTATATACCTCTTCCTGGAGTGATAAGGCATGGTAGTCTTAGCAAATGACAGATTATAGCTTGAGGTCCAAAAAGAGGGCAGAATATCCTCCATGAAACATGAAGAAAGGCAGTGTTTCCTTTCTTCCTGATGCCCAATATTTGCCTTTTCTATTTCTATGTTCTGTAATCTACTTGTTGATCTTTTATTTATGATATGATGCAGCTTCAATGGGCTTTACGATGGAATGATTTATGGGAATTTAAGGAGTGACACAAGAGACCAGTGTATTGTTGCCTAATCCACTTATTAAAACGTATAACTTGCCTTATATTGTGATATGGATTAACTTTAGTTTCTAAATATGTGTACATGTGACTTGTTTAAATCATTGTGAATCCCTTGAAAGCCCAAAGACACCAGCAGGACTACAGCAGGGAATTTGACGATGGGAAACAGACTCCACAAGTCTGAAACACAATGATAATGTGATTTGTGTTTTTTTTTTTTTTTCTTTATGAGCAGAGCTGTCAGCACCCTCAGATGAGCCACTATCCAAGATCCGGTCAAGTCAAAACTTGATCCCCGTGGGGACAGCGTGATCTGAGCTCGGCCTCCACTTTGCACTGTTACAGGCCAGAACAAACATGGCTATTTATAAGTGTAGCACGGCGCAGTTTGCCATTTGTGAACACATTTAAGTGGTATTCTGCTGTCTCCTGCACAGCTGTTGTTGCCAACAGAAGCAGGCAGCAGATGAAGCTCTTAACATGGAGATCCTGTTGGCAGGAGCGTGTCCAGACTTTTCACTAAGGTGGCCAGACTTGTGCATTAACATGAGTGGCATGAAGATTTTGTAACCATGCAAATAAATATAATTTATTACCCTTTCTGTCTATACTGTTTAACATTCAACAGCAACACAACAGAGTGGCAACATAGGCTATACATAAAACCTTCTTAGCTTCATTCTTTAGGGACTAAAAGAGAAGATGTCCAAAGTCAAAATTACAAGTAGCCATACTTCAAAATCCAAGCAAACTCCTGCAATCAGTTTAATTTGCAAAAAAAACCATTTAAAGCTACAGTGAGTATTTAGCCTATTTCATTAACAAAAAGGGGTCATTGCATGTCATTCATATCGAATCGAAATGCTCCTTTGAATAAATGTGTCTGATCTGTGTCTATGCAGGCTTTATATTTAGTTACTTTTTTGTGTGATTAACAGGGCTGAATCACTCAACCAATCAGGGTTAGCTCGTAAACTAGCCACAGTGACTCAGTATGGAGAGTGTTCGGGTTGCAATAACCACAGTTAGGTAGTAGGGGGCAACTAGACAAGAGGGGGGCTCTGCAACGCATGGCCCCTCTCTGTGCCTCACCCTGGTTCTTGACTTTATAAGAAGCCAAACACTGTATGAAATCTTCAATTTAAAACATTGAATAAAAACATGCTGTGCACGACATTATCCCAATTCCACCTGGCCTGTCATTAATACTAATTTAAATGTCCTTTACTGTGAAGATTGTAAAAAGCACAATAGCCTTCGCTAGTTAAAGGCCACCTCATTGGAGCAGCAATTCGGCTTGTGTTCCAATAGCCTATTGTATTTGTAGTCTATTCTGAAATCGTGTGATAGGTTTATTTATACCTGCACCAGAGTCCTTGTTCTCCTTGCTCTCTGTGCCGGGATCCTGAGCCTGCCGGTCGTTGTCGCAGCTCCCCTGGTCCAGTCGTGCGTCTGTGCTGGAGCAGCAGTAGCGCAGCTCGCATTTCCCGCAACAGATGATCGCGTCGTCTCCGTCGATCTTCTCCGGGCACTGGAAACCCTCTTTCCACACGCCCTGAGAGTCGTGCCAGCCATGGCAGTACTCCCCGCTAGCCTTCACGTCGATTATGACCAGGACAAGAGTCACGATCACGGTAACATACGTCGGGAAACCTCCTCCCCACATCCTCGGGGAAGAAACTGGAAAACTTTCACTCCCCGTGGTTACCTCACCTGATAAGGGGAGTGTGATGCCTGGGATTGGTGCGATGCAAGGAGCCGAGAGGGTAAATTAAGGGTGCAAAAAAACCCTTGGAAGCTTTCATTTGTTAGAGAAATCCCGTGCGTAATTCAGATCCAATGTCTCCAAAAGTTACCAACAAGTTAGTATCCAAGAGTTTTTCCAAAACAAAACGCCAATAAGATGCCACTGAATTAAAAAGAATCTTCAGAATGATATAGTCAATCCTAATTGATATTCCAGTTGCAGACCCTCAGAGTTCTCGCAAAATCAAGAAAGGAAGACAAAATAATCTCACGGATGATAGTATCTCCCACTGACTGTTTAAAAGGTTGTTTTTTTTCTTCCACAGAGATAGCAACACTTTGAGCTTAAACCAAGCTGCAGTCATTCCGGAGACCCCTCGCCTTCTGATCCGTACGCAAAGATAACATTTCAAACTTTTGTGGCTCGGTCTGCATTGTTAGACGCCAGAAGACAGCAAACCAAGTCTGGCGCAAGAACAGCCGGATTGAACTAAAGCGCGCAGTCTGTGTTACTTTGCGTCAGAGTGAGGGGGGCGTGCAACAAGTTACTCGGAAACACACACAGCCCCCTTGAACTGCCAGTTGTGCGTAAAGTAGGCTCTAGTGAAGAACAAATTTCAACTTCCGGTTAAAACCTTTGGAAATAAAACCCTTGTGCAGACTGAAATGTGATAAACTATTATTTTTGATGCAAGACAGATGTAGGCTATTATCCTGGAAATCATGTAAAACTACAATCCTCCATCATAAATATCTCTTTCACAAACTTTTAAGTCAACCATATTACGATTCATTAAGCAGACGCTTTTATCCAAAGCCAAATAGACAAAGGCCTGCATGGTTTTATGTTTTGTTTGTTATCAGAACACACTCCTTTTGTTGCTTCTAAGCATCTTTACGAAACATCTCCCATCGCTGTCCGTTTAGGTTGGAGCCATTTCCATAGTTCTATTGAGTTTTGTGCTGAATGAAACTCAATTGTCTCAGACAGGAAAACCTCTGAGTGTTTGGCCATGGCCTGCACGCTTCAATTCTCTGGCCATGACAGGATTTACATGCTGACTGTGCCATCTAGTGGAGTGAGTGTGACTGTGAGTGTGTAACCTATTTTTGCAACTCTAATAGGTTTGCCACTGGGTGATTTCAAGTATGGGTAATTCAAATTCTTGGACCCTCTGCAATGGGAGAAAGCCAGAACAGTCTACCTCCACACGTGGATAACCAGGCCGTGGGTTGATCCCAGAACCCTCTGGTTGTGAGGCGGCTGTTCTATCCACAACATACGGTGTTGTTTTTAAAGTGCTTGCCTGTTTCAAGGATCCACATGTTGTTTGAAAATCTGTTAGGCAAAAACTTGGGGAAGTAGGATCGATCATGATAACAACAGGTGGAATTGTTATTGAGCGTTTATCTAAGTGTCATAGAGACAGAGCCCTGAAAATGTGTAGGCCTACTTTTGGAGAGGATTATAGTTGATGGCTCCTCCCAATCAGAGGCAAGGAAGAAAGGAGTTTAGTGGCTTGCCTCTTACCGTATAGGCAGAGGCACTTCTGACCATTCAAGGAGCCTGTGATGCATATAGACTAACTTGATTTCAGGAAAGCAAGGGGGAAGAAACCTTATCTGTTTGTTTGTCTTTTGATGAAGAGGAGCCTGAGAGAGTTTTTTTTATTTATTTTTTATTTTTTTAAATGTGTGCTACAGGGTAAGGCCCTATGAGAAAGCTCCTCTCAGGTGCTACAGCTGTCAAGAGTATTTGGCAGTTGTATAGGAGTCAGACGATGTGGGAGATGTGGAGAAAACAAGGACTGCTATGATGAGTGCAAGGAAGATACAGATCAGGCAACAAGGGGTAACCACCACACCGGATCTGCACAATATCCAGGAAGGATTAAGGAACAAATAGGCTCCCACATAAGGGAGGACTATGGGGTGGACTATATAAACATAGGCCTAGTGCGCTATAAGATCATAAGAGCCACCAGATGGCGGTAATATAACGCTTAATGGATGCTTACCGTCATAAAATCCAACATAAGAAGAAGAAGAGAAAGAGCCTCCTCGCTCGCCCGTAGGCTACTTCATTTCCCATCATGCATCACCGTGAAGCGGTGTCCGTAGCAACAGCACAGGAAGTGGCGCGCAACTGTTTAAAAAAAAACTTTCTCACAACAAACTGGGGGATGTGATTTTGATGTCATTCAACTTCAAGGAAAAGATAAACTGTGGCGACGGAGTCTGAAACAACCTGAAAGACCGTTCAAGGGGGATTGTTAGCCCAAAACGTAAGTGCTGTTTTAACATTTAGCTCGCTTGGTAAGAGGTTATTTTAGTTTAGGTGAAGCAAGGCTAGCCCATAGCAGACTCCTAACATTTCCACTTTGTAATTAAGTGATGTTAATGGCTTGATATGTGATAACTACATGGTTTGAAACTCCTGTGAACAGATGTCGTTTGTTAGAGTTGGGCGTTCACAACAACAGGCCAAAGGAAAACAGTCTGTTCGCCCCAAGAAGGCAGCAGCTACCAAAAAAGAGTGGGTGGTGAGTACTTTAACCCTTTCACCTGTCCAATTTAACTATTTAATGTTATTATACTTGTGCACTCCTTAAAAAAAAAAAAAGAGGCAACTGTGATAATGAGTGATTTCAGCTCTCTCTCTGACGGTTTCAGAGCACCGTAAGTGACCTCTCTGTGCACAAGCTGACCCCTGCAGAGCTGGTAAGATGTTTGACTTGTGCTTATTTATTTGTGCTACTTTAGTTTTATAGACATGAGAGTACATCTGAAAAGCAATATACTGTTTCATCTGAACTGCAATAGTGTCAGGAGTTGGCAAAAGTTGCATCAGGGTGTCACCTGAACACAATTTAGTAGTGAGCTCAGCTGATAGTCCTGGGACATTTGAAATGATAACATCAGCCCATATCTGCTTGTCTGATTGCTCGCTTCTGCTTCAGAGCCATCGGCATGAGATTCACAAGTCCCACAACAAGGCTGCGGCTCAGTGGGAGCTGAGAGAGCAAGCCCTAAAGCGCCGTCTCAGACACCCTGGCAGCCCTGCACCTCTGGACCAAGCCAGCCTCAGCATCATGAGGGAGGTTTGTATGATCATTTTTCGAATTATACAACTGACAACTTTTCATACTTAATAATTTAGGAAAGCCTGTTAAATAAAAAATTGAAAAAAGCACTCACAAACTCCTGGCGGCGGCTTGTCTTGCGGCTTGCAGGTGTTTTCAGACCAGCTTCTGCTGCAGGATGTGCTATCTCGCTCTGACAGAGCCATGGCTGTTGTCAAAGATTTATTTGGAGATGTTCCTCGTAGGCAAACAGGTAGGTAGCTTCTCGTTGACTCCGTCACCGCTACACGTTCATGTATTCATGCTCCCTGCCAGTATTGTTTCTTCAGGACACTTCAAAGCATACCTGTGTGTTGATATATTTCTGCAGGGCACCCCAGTGTGACGATGGCTCCAAACTGTGACATTGACTCAGCGCTGCCTGTGCTCCAGAGACCAGATCCTCCAACTCAGCTGTCACTATTGAGCCAGTCTATGATGGATCAACAGGTGTGTGTGTGTGTGTGTGTGTGTGTGTGATTTTCAAGTTTTCATCTTTCTATTTTTTTTAACTCCAAGTTACTGTACTGTAAGTGTACTCCAACCTAGTTTTGCTTTTTTTTTTTTGAATTATGCTTTTTTAAGATATTGACATTTGTACATTTTTTCTCTCAGGCTCTTAATGAAGTAGAATCTCCAGAGCAAGACAACAGTGATGAAGATGTCTGTCCTGCTGGCAGTTCAAACTATAATGTAATCAGAAGGTAATAATGCCCACAAACAAGCACTCATCAAAAAAATCAGAGAAAAAAAAATACTTTTGCCCCTTCTGACGGGTACATTTAAGTTTTAGTTACACAACATTTACGGTGCTTTGCAGGGCAAATGTACGAAAAATGAAGGTACAGTCTCATGGTAGAGTGATACAAAAAGTCCATCATCCTAAGTCTGACCATGCAGACAGAGATAATGTTCCTGTGACCCCCTGTACATCAGGCAGAGCACCCGATGAAAGAGGTAGGATGAAAAGTGGAGCTCAATTACGCAAATTATGCATTTATCATGCAGTCATCACAGTTTAAAAATATTTGGGTATTGATGAAATAATCCCATCATTTTCTAGCTCTTAATGCCACAGTGGCTGTTAAGCGTGTCAGGTCCAGACAAAGTGAGACGGAGGAAGGAAAGGAGGAGCCGTCAGTCTGGTTTCTCAGGTCTTAACCCTGAGCTGCCTCTCAACCAGTCAGGTATATCAAGAATCTCCAAAATAAGTGCCAGGACAAGAGAACAGCAGTCATCACAGTTTAAAAATATTTGGGTTTTGATGAAATAGTCCCATCATTTTCTAGCTCTTAATGCCACAGTGGCTGTTAAGCGTGTCAGGTCCAGACAAAGTGAGACGGAGGAAGGAAAGGAGGAGCCGTCAGCTCTGGTTTCTCAGGTGCTTAACCCTGAGCTGCCTCTCAACCAGTCAGGTAATATCAAGAATCTCCAAAATAAGTGCCAGGACAAGAGAACATTTTATATAGACTGCCTAACACTGCAATATACAAGAGTAAATAAAAATTGTGTTGTCTGTTTTAAAATAAAAATTGTGTTATTGTCTGTTTTTTCACTTTTAGGCAAGAACAGTAGTCGTTGCGGCAGGACCAGGAAGTGTTTATCTCAGAGTTTGGAGCTGGATGGCTCCTCTGTTGCCTCTCTCAGTGCTGATCAGTCCGGTCTGGGTCTGCTGCAGGCTATGTTGGGTCAGGTGGAGGCAGACTTGGATACTCTGAGTCCCAGCTTTGAAGCAGCTTCAGCACAGAGTCAAAAACAGAGCAGAACACAGGGGCTCACAGGATTCTCTGTGTTGTTGGTCTCCACTCTGGGACGTTTAGTGCACCTCTTCAAACAGGTAATTTAAATGAGTACATGTTGGTGGCAGTGTAATATACAGTTCAATTCAATTCAATTGTTTTTGCATGTGTAACCCCTTTAATATAGATCACATGCACTGTGATGTGGAACCTGTGTCCCTATTCATGTACTATTTCAGCTAAGTATTGCATTGATCTTTGAAACTGCTGGATGATCATTCATTTGAATGACTACTGTTGATCCAAACTGTCCTCAGAGGGAAGAGAAGGCTCAGGAAGAAGCTCAAGAGAGAAGAGGACTAGAGGAGGCGTTAAGAGAGCAGCGTGGGCTGATTGATGCTCTCACTGCTGAGACGATGACTCTGAGAGAAGAGGCAGCAACCCTGCAGGTGAAACACAGTACACCAGATGACTCTACTTTCTTGTCCAAATTCAAACTGGGCTAATACTCAGTTTGTGTTTGGTTCCTCTCAGGCAGGGTTGCTGCAACGGACAGCAGAGCTGGAGCAGAAGTTGGACACAGTGTTGTTGGTGATTGGTGGACTAGGCCTACTGGAGGCTCACATGGACCCACCCCAAGACTCCAGGGTCAAAGCTTCAGGTTCACACTGTTTCTTTGTGTGATTGTTTGTGTATAAACATTTTCGAGTAAATAGCCAATAACTTGTTTTTGCCCTCAACAGCTCTCCAGTCTGCACCAGTTGCTGAGCAGCATCGTGAACGATTACAGTCGCCTGTTTCTCCTGCTGTGTTGCTCTCCCCCCCTCAACAGATAGACAACTGGCAACAATTTCCTGGTAACTGCCTTTGACATGTTGCACCAGCTATGTATAAGTTCTGTCTTAAGTTAGGGTGAAAAGTCCGAGGATTCATAAAGTTGTTTGAATTGAATTGATTACATCCTTAATCTACAACCATTTAAAAAAAAAAAAAAAAAAAAAAAAAAAAAAATTCTGTCCTGAATCAGAAATTATGTTCAAACTAGGCTACATTTGCACTTGCGCATAGCTAGTGCAACACAATGCTTGTCCTTTTATAGATACTAGCGGATTTAGGTCTTGTGCCTTATACCCTTTTTTTCATTGACTCATTCAGTACGGCTGCACCAGAAGATTCCTCCTTTAGACACCCTGCGTTCCTGTGAGGACCTCCAGGTCCACAGCTCATCCTCCAGTCTCGCAAGCCTTCCTCTCCCCAGCCTTCCCTCTACTACTTCATTAACAACCACTGATGCTCTCAACTCACGCCTCTCTCCAGAGGCAATTCTCGCAGAGATCACTCTGCTTAGTGAACAGAACAACTTGATCAAGGCCCAGCTTAGCCAGGCTAAGAGCCTCGGTTCAGGGGTCGGAAGATCCCCTGAGAGCAGCAGTGACACTGGAAGTGTTAGGGAGAGGAGGATCTCAGTTTCCAGCAGCACAGGAAGAGGGAGTCGGCATGTCCAGGCTGCTGATGTGGAGCAGCTAATTACTCAGGTAACCTCCCCACGTGAGCTCTGATGGTAGCTTCCCATTTTATCAAGAATTTTTCTGTCATAATTAGAATTGTTGTGAGGAACTTCCGCTTTGTGTCTGATATTGGTGCCCCCGTGGAAATAGGTGACTAAGAGGCATCAGTATGAGTTTAAGTCTGTTTAATAAGCAGTTAGAAACTCCTCACAGGAGCTTTACATTTTCCTCATGCACTTGAAACATAAAACTTCCTTTTATCTTTGAAATGTGTCAAAAATATTTTCTAGACAAAAAGTCAATGTGAGTTCAGACAGCAGTGACCAATTTGGCCTTTGGTCTTTCTAGTATAGATAATTAAATGCAGTTAAAACGTGAGATTTGGAGAGAGTGGTGAATAAAATAACTTCTGCCCGAGTAAATTTTAAAACATGAAATTTTTTTAGACAACATCACCAAGCTCCCCTTCTGCAAGCAGTGTGGAACAGCGCCTCCTGGAGCTGAACAGACAAAGTGCAGCAGCGAGGGGTCGCCTGCTAGAGCTCATCGATCAACAGAAACAAAGTGTTTCATCTAAAGTTTCATCCTCTGTTTCCCCCATTCCCCGTTCTGCCATCAGTCCACATTCAGCAGGTATGTTCAGTCTGTCTGATTAATTTATTTCCTTTCACTGTAAAATAAACAACAACATTGTATCACATTGTTCTCAGCTGAACGAGTGGGAAGTCCAGAGGAATCCATGCTGTTGACTGCACAGGAGCTCCTGTCCCAGACTAGTGGTGTGGGTAGACGGTAAGTTGCTCTCTCAGATGAGAGTGGCGTTCCTTGACATGACACTTAATGCATTGTGGATTTTGATCATAAGCAGCACAATATTTAACAACCTTGGTTTCTTATAAAACAATTCACAATTAACAATTAATCGGATTTCACCTTTTTTAGATAAAGAATGTATTGACATAATTATTTCAGATCCAGTCAGGACAATACTGACTGTTACACTAACATAAAAACATGCCATAATAATTGTATTATGTTATCATTTATGTAATTCAGATCTGCTGGCTCTGAAGGGTTATCTTACAGTCCTGGAGGAGATACAAGAGACGACAAAGCAGAAGTAAGCAAACGCATAAAGAAATGATTTAATGGAAGTTTAAAGGTTTCAGCAAACTTTTACCACCTTTCTTACATCTAAATACATCTTGATTTTCAGATGGAGAAACGGAGAGAGCGAGAGGGCTGGTTTGCCTTGTCTGCTCATGTTAGATGATAAGGACTCATTATTTATGTATCACAATAAAAAATAAATCGTCCATTTGCGTTCACACATGTTGCTCACCTGAAAAATGTCCTAAATTTCAGGAGTTTTCTGCATGTGTGAAGCATGAAGTCATTTGTTCATACATAATTAAATACAATCTGGATTTATTATAGAAGTTTTTTATTATATTATGTTACAAATGTGATTACCTAGATTGATTTGAATGTCTGAACATCCTGTCAGCACATGCAGTGTACACCATTTTAATGCATAAACATTTGTTTTAGATCAAAGTTTTTAGCTTGTTATTAAACAGATATGAGTTAATATTGATGCCTATTCATGAGATACAAAAGCAAAAAAGACTATCAGGTTAAAAAATGATCATTTATATATAGTTATTCTTAATGTCTGAATCCACTGCCTTGAACTAGGTTTTCTAAAATAATTAGCAGCACACTTAAAGTTTGATACTGAAGTTCTGTTTGATGGGGACTTTAGAAAACAGCCTTTTGTTAACGTTCTATGTTAAATACCAAGTAGCCTCTGATTTTAATCATCCAATTTTGACACTCATTTAAATGCATTTGTTTAAAGATTTTTATTCTCGAGACGAGAGCCTCAACACATGGGATGCACGCCCTAACCACTGCGCCCCTTAAATGCATTTGTACATCTATTATCTATACTTTTTAACCAACACAAGCTGATCTCGTCTTCAACAACATTCACATTCATACATATTGACCTAATGTGCGTGGTTCTGTGAAAAGATAAATCACAAGCTGCTTCCTGTGACGTGGCGGTGCTTCTGCTCCACCATTCTGCCCTCACATTAACAGATACAAATAAGGACTATGTTCAATGCCCTATTTTAGAATGGTCGCCCTATGTTGTTTACGTTGAGGAAGGGCTCCATCAGGGTGGAGGTAAAGTCAGACGTTTCGGAGTGAGGGTTTGAATTACAGTTAGCTTCTATTCCCCTGGACAGGAAACCCATTGCAATAAGCACACCTGCAGAGGCAGTACCAACGTACATACCTGCTTTCAGTACACCTTTACTACAGCGACTCAACAAACTTGTAGTATGATTCTCATCAGCAGGAGTCTCCTGAGGTAAACCAAGTCTACCCTCTTCAGCTTTCCTCCATAACTCTGCTAAATTCTCCTCCTCCTGTCTCGTTTCAGATTGTTGTTTAAGGTTGTGGAAACGTTTTTTTAAATCTGAGTGGTAACACTCTGTCGTTTGCTGCTTAAAATTAATTGCCCTTTGTTGATGTTCAACTAGTCTTTTTGACTCCCTGATTGACTTCTCAGCATCCTTCAGTTGGGACTGATGTTCCTGTAAAGCCGACTTCAAATGTTCAATTTCATCTTTCTGTCCATTGGCCAGTGACTCAAGTTGTTCCCGGTCATTTTCAAGGATATCATTGTTGTCATTAAGAAGCTCTATTTCTTTCCGGAGATCAGACAATGCCTCCTTCAGATTTTGTATCTTTGTCTGATTTTTTTCATTCAAAGATTCTGCACAGTCCAGATTTTGCATCATCTCGTCATAATCCCTGTGAACTGCCTGCGCGACTTTTAGTTGACCCTCAAGAGAATTAACCTGTTCATTAAGAAGTTCAAGCTCTTCCTTCATACTTTGATTCTCCTCACTTAAAAATAACTTTGCCTCTTCTAGAGTTTTTATAGAAGTGTCTCTTTTCTCCAAGGTCATCTCAGTATTTTTCCTGTTGACTTCCTGTGCTTCTCTTAGTTGACACTGGAGTTCTTGCACTTCTATCCTAAGATTTTCATGAATAGAGTCACAGTGTTTAAGCTCATCAATCACACGATAATTCTCCTCAATTAAAGCAATCTTCTCCTGTTCCTGATTTTTATGAAGGTGTCTCTTACCTCCAAAGTCATCAGGTCATTATTCCTGTTGACTTCCTGTGCTTCTCGCAGTTGATCCTCAAGTGAATGAACCTGTTCATTGAGTCCTTCAAGCTCTTCCTTCATACATTTACCCTCCTCACTTAAAAGTAACTTCTCCTCTTCTAGAGTTTTTATGGAAGTTTCTCTTTCCTCCAAGGTCATTTCATTTTTTCTATAGACTTCCTGAGCATCTTCTAGTATACACTTGAAGTCCTGCATCTGTTTTCTAATATTATCATGAATAGATTCATGGTGTTTAGCTCATCGTTCATACATTTTTTCTCCTCAATGAAAGCTAACTTTTCCTGTTCCTGATTTCTTATAAAGGTGTCTCTTACCTTCAAACTCATCAGGTCATTATTCCTGTTGACTTCCTGTGCTTCTCGCAGTTGATCCTCAAGTGAATGAACCTGTTCATTGAGTCCTTCAAGCTCTTCCTTCATACATTTACCCTCCTCACTTAAAAATAACTTCTCTTCTAGAGTTTTTATGGAAGTTTCTCTTTCCTCCAAGGTCATTTCATTTTTTCTATAGACTTCCTGAGCTTCTCCTAGCATACACTTGAGTTCCTGCACTTCTTTAGTAAGACTTTCATTAATAGATTCATGGTGTTTAAGCTCATCGTTCATACATTTTTTCTCCTCAATGAAAGCTAACTTTTCCTGTTCCTGATTTCTTATAAAGGTGTCTCTTACCTTCAAACTCATCAGGTCATTATTCCTGTTGACTTCCTGTGCTTCTCGCAGTTGATCCTCAAGTGAATGAACCTGTTCATTGAGTCCTTCACGCTCTTCCTTCATACATTTACCCTCCTCACTTAAAAATAACTTCTCCTCTTCTAGAGTTTTTATGGAAGTTTCTCTTTCCTCCAAGGTCATTTCATTTTTTCTATAGACTTCCTGAGCATCTTCTAGTATACACTTGAGTTCCTGCACTTCTTTAGTAAGACTTTCATTAATAGATTCATGGTGTTTAAGCTCATCGTTCATACATTTTTTCTCCTCAATGAAAGCTAACTTTTCCTGTTCCTGATTTCTTATAAAGGTGTCTTTTTCCTCCAAACTCATCAGGTCATTATTCCTGTTGACTTCCTGTGCTTCTCGCAGTTGATCCTCAAGTGAATGAACCTGTTCATTGAGTCCTTCAAGCTCTTCCTTCATACATTTACCCTCCTCACTTAAAAGTAACTTCTCCTCTTCTAGAGTTTTTATGGAAGTTTCTCTTTCCTCCAAGGTCATTTCATTTTTTCTATAGACTTCCTGAGCATCTTCTAGTATACACTTGAGTTCCTGCACTTCTTTAGTAAGACTTTCATTAATAGATTCATGGTGTTTAAGCTCATCGTTCATACATTTTTTCTCCTCAATGAAAGCTAACTTTTCCTGTTCCTGATTTCTTATAAAGGTGTCTTTTTCCTCCAAACTCATCAGGTCATTATTCCTGTTGACTTCCTGTGCTTCTCGCAGTTGATCCTCAAGTGAATGAACCTGTTCATTGAGTCCTTCAAGCTCTTCCTTCATACATTTACCCTCCTCACTTAAAAGTAACTTCTCCTCTTCTAGAGTTTTTATGGAAGTTTCTCTTTCCTCCAAGGTCATTTCATTTTTTCTATAGACTTCCTGAGCATCTTCTAGTATACACTTGAGTTCCTGCACTTCTTTAGTAAGACTTTCATTAATAGATTCATGGTGTTTTAGCTCATCGTTCATACATTTTTTCTCCTCAATGAAAGCTAACCTTTCCTGTTCCTGATTTCTTATAAAGGTGTCTTTTTCCTCCAGAGTCAGCTCATTAGTCCTATAGACTTCTTGCACTTTTTGTAGATGACGCTTGAGACTTTGAATGATAGATACATGATTTGAAATCTCATCAGTCATATCTTCATTCTCCTCAGTTAAAGCAAACTTCTCCTCTTCCAGACTTCTTATGTAAGTGTCTCTTTCCTCCAAGGTCATTTCATTTTTTCTATAGACTTCCTGAGCTTCTCCTAGCATACACTTGAGTTCCTGCACTTCTTTACTAAGACTTTCATTAATAGATTCATGGTGTTTTAGCTCATCGTTCATACATTTTTTCTCCTCAATAAAAGCTAACTTTTCCTGTTCCTGATTGCTTATAAAGGTGTCTCTTACCTCCAAACTCATCAGGTCATTATTCCTGTTGACTTCCTGTGCTTCTCGCAGTTGATCCTCAAGTGAATGAACCTGTTCATTGAGTCCTTCAAGCTCTTCCTTCATACATTTACCCTCCTCACTTAAAAATAACTTATCCTCTTCTAGAGTTTTTATGGAAGTTTCTCTTTCCTCCAAGGTCATTTCATTTTTTCTATAGACTTCCTTAGCTTCTCCTAGCATACACTTGAGTTCCTGCACTTCTTTAGTAAGACTTTCATTAATAGATTCATGGTGTTTAAGCTCATCGTTCATACATTTTTTCTCCTCAATGAAAGCTAACTTTTCCTGTTCCTGATTTCTTATAAAGGTGTCTTTTTCCTCCAAACTCATCAGGTCATTATTCCTGTTGACTTCCTGTGCTTCTCGCAGTTGATCCTCAAGTGAATGAACCTGTTCATTGAGTCCTTCAAGCTCTTCCTTCATACAATTACCCTCCTCACTTAAAAATAACTTCTCCTCTTCTAGAGTTTTTATGGAAGTTTCTCTTTCCTCCAAGGTCATTTCATTTTTTCTATAGACTTCCTGAGCTTCTCCTAGCATACACTTGAGTTCCTGCACTTCTTTAGTAAGACTTTCATTAATAGATTCATGGTGTTTTAGCTCATCGTTCATACATTTTTTCTCCTCAATGAAAGCTAACTTTTCCTGTTCCTGATTTCTTATAAAGGTGTCTTTTTCCTCCAGAGTCAGCTCATTAGTCCTATGGACTTCTTGCACTTTTTGTAGATGACGCTTGAGACTTTGAATGATAGATACATGATTTGAAATCTCATCAGTCTTATCTTCATTCTCCTCAGTTAAAGCAAACTTCTCCTCTTCCAGACTTCTTATGTAAGTGTCTCTTTCCTCCAAGGTCTTTTTTTCGTCAGACAAAATATTTGCGACCCGGTCCAGTTCTTTCTTTATCTGTGTGGTTGCATAGACTAACTCCTGTAGCCTGGTCTCCTTGTCCACTTCTCGTAGATGACACTTGAGTTCCTGCACTTCCTCCCTAAGACTTTGAATGATAGATCCACGATTTGAAATCTCATCAGTCATATGTTGATTCTCCTGAGTTAAAGCAAACTTCTCCTCTTCCAGACTTCTTATGTAAGTGTCACTTTCCTCCAATGTCTTTTTTGCATCAGACAAAATATTTGCGAGCCGGCCCAGTTCTTTCTTTGTCTGTGTGGTTACATAGACTGACTCCTGTAGCCTGGTCTCCTTGTCCACTTCTCGTAGATGACACTTGAGTTCCTGCACTTCCTCCCTAAGACTTTGAATGATAGATCCATGATTTGAAATCTCATCAGTCATATGTTGATTCTCCTGAGTTAAAGCAAACTTCTCCTCTTCCAGACTTCTTATGTAAGTGTCTCTTTCCGCCAATGTCTTTTTTGCATCAGACAAAATATTTGCGAGCCGGCCCAGTTCTTTCTTTATCTGTGTGGATACATAGACTGACGCCTGGCCACGCCTGGTCAGATTGTCCCTAAGATTTCCTAACTCCAAGTAAAGCCTCTCTATTGTTTGCTGCTTACTACCTATTTCCATTGTTTGCGTTTCTAACAGCTTATTCTTGTTGAAGATAGTCAGCAAAGCGTTCTCAAGTTGGTTCTGAAGACCTTGATTATCTGACCTCAGGTTTTTATAATTATCTTTTTGTGCCTTTGTCAGAGATTCAAATCGATCCCGCTCATTTACAAGGTGCTTATTTTTCTCCATCAGAAATTCTTCATTTGTCTGAAGAACATGCATTTTCTGCTTCAACGTTTGGATCTCTGCCTGACTTGTCTCATCCAAAGATTCCACCTGCTTCAGTTTCTGTGTAATGTCATTATTTCTGTTGACTTCCATCATTAGATTTTGATTCTCCTCACTAACAGTCTTCCTATTGTCCTTAAGACTCTCCAATTCTTCTGTAAGCTGTTGATCCTCTGCTTGGTATTTCTCAAGATGGCTGACTCTGGCCGTTAGATTTTGATTCTCCTTAGTTAGAGTCCTCTCAGTGTCTTTGAGATTCTGCAATTCTCCGGTCAGCCGTTCAGTTTCTGCTTTGTTTGTTTGTTCCGTGATCTCTAATTCTGATTTCAGCCTGTTAAACTCCTCATGGTGTTTTTCTTGCTGTGAATGGTAACTTGACACTTGTTCTGTTAGGTTGGCCTCATTGGCCTTTGAATCTTCTAACTTTAACGTTAGTGCCTCTATCTCTGATCGAAATGACTCATCTATCATGTTTGTTTCATTCAGTAAATTACCTAATATTTCTATTCTACCTTTCCATTTTGAGTTTTGCTCACTCATCTTCTGGCACACTCTGAAAAGCTGTTTTCCACGTTTTTTCACTTGTTTTGTAAGGTTAGTCTCCATGGCCCTTGCTTCTTCTAACTCCAACTCTAGCGCCATGACCTTTGATTTTATTGACTGCTCCCAGCTCATACACCCTTTCAATACCAAGTTGTATATCACCCAATCATCATAAAACTGATGCTCCTTTAACTGTGACTGAGCTACACGAATGTGATCCTGAAGGCTCTGAGGATCAACAGTTTCTATCAACTCTGGCACTCTGAGCCGAGGTGAATCCTCAAATGTTTGTGAACAAGCTGCGTGAAATTCTTTTGAGACATTTTTGCTTAGGATTGAATTTGTTCAGAGTTAATTTAGAAGCATATAAATGTAGCGATTAAAATTGTTATATCAAGTAGCTGTGTTACCTCTCTCCTTTGCAGATTGATCTGTGTTTGCTCGCATCCAAATGCTTTGACCCCGTAAGGTAATTTGAAACGGCTTTATAAACGATCCAGAGATCAAAGGCATCCAACGCTCCTGTGACGTCATGATATTGCACGCGTCATAGAATGTTTACATTTTTTAAACAGTGAAGCTGCCATGGTCACGTGTGCTATACACGTGACTGTTCAGCGCTATGCTTCATTCAAAAGAAAACAAATAAGTGATTAATCAGCCATTTTTCTGAATATGAAAAAAAAGAAATGCTGGGAAACTGACCTTACACCTATGTCTTACACACGTTAGTCCGACATGTGACGTGACATGGTTTAAGCTGTCTAAAACATACTTCTAAACCTATAACAAGTTAAATTGCGATATGATATCAGAAAGCATGCGTTGAATCTTTATCATTCATAATAGGGTCAGTGTTAGAGCCATTTGTGTGTCCAGTATGTATATACACTTATTTTACCTCATTTCTTGAGACATTTTTTGCTTAGGATTGAATTTGCTCAGAGTTAATTTAGAAGCAAATTCATTTAGCTATTAAAACGTGTTATATCAAGTACTGTAGCTGTGTTACTTCTCTCCTTTGCAGATTGAGCTGTGTTTTTCTAAACTTTCCTCACATGCAAGTCCCTGTAAAGTGAAATCAGAAATACGTCTCCAAGCACGCTAAATATGTTGCAAGAAGATAGCTTTAAACATGTGAAAAGACTGACAACTATGTTTGATTGATTTCCGATTTTTGACCGTTTTTACGGTTTTCTCAAGTTTCAGTTCTAGGTTTTAATGGGCGGAGCTAAGTCGGGGCCTATCTACGTAGATCGGCCCTTCAGTTCAATGTTCAAGTGTATCTTCCCTGGATGTCAGGGACAGCGCGGTCTGTTTGTTCAAATTCCCCGGATGAAGAGATGAAGAACAGGTGGATTAACTTTGTGAAGCGGTACCACGATGGAGAGCTGATGTTCACTAATATCACCCGCCTCTGCAGTGCCCACTTTTCCCCCGACGGTTTTGTCAACTTGTTTAACCGCGTTTGGCTGGTTAGTGGTCCCGAAACGTCTGTCTCTCCCCCCTGACCGTCACCTGCCCGTCTCGGACACACCTGGCTCCTTCACGGACAGTGGATGCCCGCATGTGAGTGTACGTTTCCCTTTTTTGCTGCATGTTAATAGTTAATCTATATCAAAGTTTTTGTTGGCAAGTGAAATAATATAACGTGATTATATTGTGTTGCGTAGCATGATTTTCATATCTAATGTGGTCAAGTTTATGATTATTAGGTGAAGGGATGCCTCACATTTCTTTGTTGGGAGAGAGAGAGAGAGGGAATGTGTGGTGTAAGATTAAAGTTAGCATCCAGCTCCAATCAAATATGATAGAGAACTTTAATCTGTGTGTAAGATAATAATAATAATAATCGGTCATATCAACAGGTTATTTTGGGGGAAGAGCAACATAAATGACCGCGCTGCAAGAAGCCGGGTTTTTTTTCTAAATCTCCGCTAGTAGCATGGCTATTGTTGATGTTGTAAATGATGCCTTCTGTGTCTAAATAACCAGACAGAGACGGCTTGAAACGGCGCGTCTGCGACCGCCACCGCGTCGGTGTCTGGCTGCCTTTACGCACGTCCCTGACCGCCTTTACGCGTTTCTCTGACCGAGTACTGCACGTAATTTTACTGTAGTTTAGAGATTATTATACGTGTCAGTATTATCAGTAACAGTATATTTCATTAGCAAGCAAATTAAACTATTATCAGTTTTCACATAGTCTCCTCCAACAACAAGAGAGACAGGGTGCCAGTGAGACAACATACAGAAAGTCATCAGAGAGGACAGACCTCTCTGTGGGTAAGAGGACAGGGGCCGCACAATAGTCTTGGAGAACACTAGGCAACAGAAAAACTACAGGTATGTTGAGATATAAAGGTCTTTGTGAATGTCTATGACGTTAAGGCAAACCTTCTAGATATGCACTATATGTACATCAAAGAAAACACTGCTTAAATTATATTCTTCAAAGATTTGAATAAGTACAACACATTAATAGAAATTAATATTCATCATGTTGAGTCTGTCACGGTTATTTTATGAGCAACATGCTGATGTTACTGCTGTGGTAAAAACCTAAAAAAAATAGTGACTGAATAAATACAGTATTTTACACATTTTACTGACAGACAGTTTACTAATGTTTTCATGAGAGAGAAGACCATACGGGCTGGACAAAATCTTGCAACATTGATGGTCAAAGTGCAGCTTAAAAATGTAAGATTTATTTTCTAACTTCATAGCTGCAACTCTGTATACAGTGCACACCAACAATTGTATTGTTATTTGCACATGTATTCTCCAGGTTTTCAAGCTACAGGAGCCAACAGGAGCGTTGCTGTGGGAAGCACAGCATCCCAAGTTCTTCCGCTCTTCTCATCTACTCCACTCAAGTGAAAACTGCGTCACCTGACAGCCCACCTACAAAACGCCCTCTCTTGGCGTTCCGTGACAACAGTTCCAATTTTGCAGATCCTGATGACACCACCTACCTCCCCAGTATTTCTGAACTTGTTGACACCATCACTGAACAGTTAGTTCACTTTGTTTGTTAGATATTTGTAGATATTGAAAAAAAGAACTAATGGGTTAATTTATTCCTCATCATTTTTTAATTTGCCTGTCATGACTGAAATTTGTCTGCCATGTCAGTGAAGTATGAACGGAACATATTAGCACTTTGTGACAAATACTTTGTTGTCTTTTATTTTCTTTCTCAACAGAGCACCAGCCAAGGCAGTGCAATACATGCTGAAGTACTTGGTGTATGAGGACTGGCTCCTGGAGCTTTTTAAAATCTGCCCCACCTGCTCCAGACTCTGTGACGTTGACACGTTTGTTAAAGGAACATTCTTCTCTGTAACCCAGAAGTGCCTCTACACGAGTGTCTCTTACTCAAGACTCCAGAGTCCTGATAACACCTGCTGAGAGTGAGAGGAGGGGAGAGGACACCAACTAGAGAACCCAGAACTATGAGGATGGGAGGAAGCCAAGTTGGTAACATACATGTGTGGGAATGGATTTTGGCATCCAATGAGCCTGTGACGTCATATTCCGAGCGTCATACAATGTTTACATTTTTAAACAAGTTGCCATGGTAACCGTGGACTGAAAATATCAATGTGGCCACGTGTATTGTATTTATTTAAAAGAAAACAACTGAGGGATTATTCAGCCATTCTTCGTCTTGCCTTTTCGTGTCATTCAACTTCAACATTCATGAGTAAATTGCTCTTGTAGCACAGTAAATATTTCACTAATTATTATTATTTTCAAATGAATTATGCACATTGCCCACAGACACTTTAGTGATGAATTTGCTCAAAGTGGGAATAACGCTACGGAATTATTTTGTGATGCTCTCTTCTTGTTTTAAACTAGCGACTGCAAAATAGGTTAGACTTGCTTCAAACGGTGTAAAACTTCAATGGTAGTTTGTTGTAAGGATGTAGATGAGTTTAACCATAAAAAAAGACAGTAAATTATGTTGAAAACGTCGGTAATCATTTGCATGTTATTCGACTCGCTGCAGGAGAGAGAGACCACATCACTGTCCGTGTGTGTGACTTTTGTGTGCCCATTGCGTTATGAATCGTGTAAATTTCTTTTGTACTTTAATGCACTTTTATAGATGCCTGCATTTAATAAAAAATCTAATTATATAGAAATAGATATCCTTTGTGTAATATGTTTGTTCGTTTGTTCTAGTTTTGTGGGAGAAATCCATCTAAGCAGTACATATTTTGTTTTGGTTCTACTCCAAGTATTTTATAACACCGTATGGTGTATTTGTTTTCTTTAGTATGCTTTTCTTCTTTATTCTTTTTTACTTGTTTTTTGATGCATACAAAAAAAAATGGGAATGCTTCTGTGATGGGGAGAAAGACTGTGACTTTTATGTGCCCTTTTGCTGCATTACAGAATTAAAATGTTGCAGATCCTAATTCGTGTGTTGGTGCCTTACTGATACTTGTGATGGAGTATTTTTGGACCAAGGTATTTCTACTTTGCAGCTTCTGTTATAGCCTATATATCAATATAATTAATGATCCCGGAGTCGTAATGTGTCAGTTTTGTTTTAAAGCTCCTCTGAAGAACTTTTAGTTTATGATGATTATGGTGACCCCTGTGGACTTAAATCACTTTGCTATGTTATGTTCTATACATGTGTTAGTGGCGTCTTTGAATAAATAATCTCATCCTGCTTTCTTTTAACAGTCAAATCAATGTATCACTCATCGAGAAACTTAGCAGTGGAAAAGGCAAGTAATAACTAGGTTATAATAATCGGTTAGTTGCTGAAGGTCGTGCTTGCTTTTGCAGTCCATAAAGTGGCATCATTATTAATTTAAGTATTTTTCATTACCAGCTAAAAACTCTTCACTGGAGCTTTAACAGCCTGATTTTTGACGCTCCCAAGTGGCCAAAAATGGAAAGCTCCTGAGCTCTCATGTCTCGTAGGTTCCACAGGATTGTTGGTGGGGACCATACCTGGGGACTGCCAGCTGCTGCTGTGGAACCCCCCCCTTTCCCTGTTTGTCACTATTCTTCTCCCTGCATCTTATCCCATCTCCCCCCATCCCATTTTTCAAGCAGTTTCGGCAGATGGCTGTTCATCAAAAGTCTGCTTTTGCCCAAGATATCTGCCTCTTAAAAATCATGTTTTTTCTTGCCACTGTAACCTTTTAGTTAAGCAATATCTCGAGCGGGAGTGCTTTCATGGGTTTCAGTTACAGTCGGTGAGTATACCTACAGGAGATAATGTGTGACTTTGCTTTTCATACAGCAATTTAATTCGGATCTGTCAGGCAACTGCACTCTGGATACATTGTGTATTTCTTCAAGTAACAATATTACCAGCACCAGGATAGATTTATGAGTGCTATAGACTATCACTGTGACTTTTCATGCATGTAGGCCTATATTACTCTGCGGCTGCATCAGCATGGTGTTAACATAGCATAGTGTTTAAGATTTATTTTTGGGCTTTTATGCCTTTATGGAGAGACAGGACAGTGGATAGAGCTTGAAATCAGGGAGAGAGAAATTGGGGAATGACATGCGGGAAAGGAGCCACAGGCCAGATTCGAACCCGGGCTGCCCGCTTCGAGGACCACAGCCTCCATACATGGGGCACGCGCACTAACCACTGCCCCACAAGTGCCCCTGTGTCTGCCTTTTTTGATCCTGCTGTTACCTCTGGATAACACAGCAGACTTGTATGTCACTTACTTTTATGATACATTAAAGCAGACAGATAAATGTTCATTAGGCTACCGGAAAATGTGTCCACCGAGTAGCAAGGGTGCAGGGGAATGTATGGGTTGCATGCGAACAGTTTTAGTTGAGTTGTGGAACTTGCTCAGTTCGTGAAGCAAAAATTGTCATCTGTTTCTTTAGTGATAACTACTTCATGCTTGTTTTATAAAAACGATGTCACAGTCAAGGTTGTCACGGAAGAAGAAAGAAGGCATACTTTCTTTATCCCTGAGGGGAAATTCATTTTTTCCCACCTTGTTACAGAACATGCCACATGAGGCCAGGAATACACACAAATACACAAACCGGATCATGGACATGCATTAAAAAGAGATGACAGAGTAAAGGACCTGCATATGAATGATCATTTGTTTTTGTTTTTTTAAATTACAGCTACACACAGAGCAAAGTTTGAGAGAAGTGTATACCATACAACACCATGGCACATGTGATGCTTCTGACCACAAGGGGTCACTGTAACAGTTTTCTTTGACTTGGCACATTCTTCTACTGCTCCTCTGTGAGCAGGAATCAAAAAGCCATCAAGAAGTGGTCATAAACTGACTCATTTCCACTTCAGTTAGTGTTTGCAGTTAATGTTAATGTGTCTTGGGTGATGCTGGAGTAGGAAGGAGAGCACTTGAGTTTTTCAGCCAGTCAGGAGTGCTGTGTGGGCAGTGACAATGACCAGCAGGGAAATCAAAAGGAGTAAATATTGCAGATAATAATAAGATGGAGGCATAAAGGGGCCAGGGGCAGCAGCCATAAACGTGTGGTCAAAGGTCACTGAGGAGACCCAGGGGGTAGCAGGCGGGGCTTATTGTGCCTGACCTGGATGAGTGAAGGACGGGGTGAATGGGGATTAACCCCATCCCAGCGCCTCTCAATACCCTCTTCCTTACTGCAGGGCCTGAGGAAGGTTCCCATTTGACTCCCCCCTTCTCTGCCTCACCTTTAGGTGGGCCTCTCTTCAGCATTAGAGCACCTTCGTCACTCCTCATACGCACATAATCATATGCATCATGCAATATAGATTTTAGAGGAGGGAGAAAACTGTCTCTATGATTAGATTTTTTTTTTCCTTTAAATTTTAAATAGCCTACATGAGATTAGAGCAGGCAGAAGACACACACATACACACAATGACATGAGGGGTGTAGCTGGGACCTGGGGGGGGAGGGGGAGGTAGTTTTCTTTACTCATTTAAATCTGCCCCCACTTCACCTCAGTGAAGGAGGATGAAGTCACTCAGAAAAACACACACACTAAAGTTTGTGCACACACTGGCTCACTACTGCTTTTGATAGGGTCCAAACTGGTGTTGGCTTTGTCTTGTCAGATGCTCTGTATACACAAAGCTACCTAAAAAAATAACTTGTTGATTTAAAAAAGGCCTGATTGTTTTATTTTTAATCCATATTCCTTATTTAAGCATTGGACCCACTAGTTTCCCATGGCCTGAAATCACGTGTAGATTACTTGAAGGGAAGTTAGTGAAGTTAATTGAATTTACCTTTGGATCAATAAAGTATCTATTTTTTTATTTTTTTATTTAAAAAAAAAAATCTTGCTCCAATTTTGCAGAGTAATGTGCCAAGCAGCAAAGTTCAAAATGATTTTCGGATTTTTGATTGGCAGATTATTTAACAATATAAAGACAATTTATTTTCTTTAATTCCACTTTCCCTCACTTTTTAAATGTTGCAGCATTGTTATAATGCCACTAGAGGGCAGTATTTAAGTGCTACAGTGGCTTTACTTGAGTTCCTTACAAGTGAATGTAAAACTATTTTTCAACTTTTCAAGTTTTCCAAAACCACTTGTGGGGGGGGGGATGGGGGGGGTGGGGGTGGGATGGGGTGGGTTGGGTGGGGGGTGGGGGGGGTGGGGGGGGTGAGTGGGTGCCTCTGTGTGTACTCCACAGCTGTGTTAGGCTCTGATCTGAAGCAGGCTATTGCTTGCAGTGAAAATATTATTGCAAGTGTTTATTATTGCTTTAGTGTGAAACAGTGGGAGTGTTGTGTGCGCTGCACGGGCTAGTGGTGTATGGAGAGTGTGTGCGTGTGTAGGGATAGTGGTGATACTGGTGGTGGTGTAAGAAGGGTGTGTGTGTGTGTGTGTGTGTGTGTGTGTGTGTGGGGGGGGGGGGCTCCCTTCGTTCTCCTCCTTTCTGTTTCCCACCGGCCAGCCCCCAGCCCGTGGCCCATTGCACCCTGGGTAATGGGGAGGCCTATTGGAGTTGATTAGTTCCGGCTGGAGCCCAGATAGAGTTCTGACAGGCAGGAGAAACGAGCTCTCAGCGTGACCCCCCACTTCCCCCCTACACACCCCTGTCTCAGGCACAATGGGCAAGGCAGGCGAAAGGCTTTTTAAACAACTGCAGCTTCTCTCTACTCCACTGCCCCCTCCCTGGCCAAAACCTGCGCCATTATCACACCAGAAATTACACGACACTACTGCACACATTCTTACAGAACCCCTAAATGCACAAACATCCATACATCTGTTACCCCCAGATGTGCAAAAGTATAAAACAAACACAAAAGTATTTTCTCACACAGCCTACACAAAACTCATGAAAATGTCCCCAAATTGTAGATTGAGCTGCATGTGTGAACGCAAACGTCTGATTTTCCACCCTATCTTCCCTTAGACTTTGAATGAAAAAAGTCCTCTGGATGAAAATTTCCGCAAGTCGAGATGAGTCGATAGCCTATTCAGACGGCCGTTTCAAGGGCGCAATATTTACGTCCCCCGTTACATTTCTCCTTTACTATGAATATGAGTGACGGGATTGGCAGGGCCAGTGCGGAACGCAGCGCTGTGTGTGGGTGCATGTTTGTCTCCGTGTGTATGTGCAGCTCCCTCTGTTCTGTGCTCTCTCATGCTTCAGCAACGCCGTAATGCAATGTGGGACACCAACATTTCTGCCACTGTGGAATCAACGTGAATGTGTCAAAGGCGTAATGACAGCGGAGCTTCTTGACAGCGCTTTGTGGCAGACCGATGTGTGACGGTGAATGCAGCAGGTATTCATTTAATTCACAGCCAGCAAGCGGGCATGCTCGGTGATGACGTTGACATCACATTCATAGCTCATGAGCGAGTGTTGCAATTGTAAATCAAGTTATTCATACTCATTTCTGCTCACCAGTATGTTCTTCTCTCCTCTTTTTTTGATATAAAAGGTAGAAACTGACCACCCTCTCTCCCAATCCGACAGAGAAAGTCTCCCACTTTGAGAAGGTGTACAGGCAAGTCAGGACAACCTCAGGGGCAGCCTGTCCTGAAATGTTCTAAAAATGTTCAGGATGTGTGAAAAAGGCTATCGCAGTATAGGCTTAACTTACCTCGCTTCTGTGGGCGGTGGCAGAATGAGATATAGCCTAGTGGTCTTGCCTATCACACTGACCAGCCTATTGTTTTGTTAGATTGCCTTAAAATTGTCCCCTTTTTTTTCACGAGAAGAGGACTTTGTCAACTCAAGAGCATTATATAACAACTCTGTTATAATAGGAAAAGCAGCGTCGTTATCCTGCAATAACGAGAGCAAAAAAGTTGAGATATCGAGAAAACCTCCTGGAATTACTCATTATCACGAGAGAATGGAGTAAATGAAATCTATGGATGCTTCGGGCTTCCGTTCACTCTCCTTTACAAGTGTGATTTAGCAACTTCTCCCTCTCTCTCTCCCTCTCTCTCTCTGTGGACAATCTACACCAATCTATCTCCATGGCACTGTGTCAAAAGCCCTTTGCCCGTCCTATAAATGTTATCGATGCTATGGATAGAGCGTGCTCAGTGTGTCGCCTAAAGAAACGGCCTCTCACATCAGGATCAGCCACAGTGCTTTGTGTCTCCCTGACATTCGGTCACATCCACCGTGTTGGACACCTGTGGCATAAACTGAC